TTTTGTTTTTTTTGAAACAGGGTCTTGCTCTGTTGCCCAGGCTAGAGTGCAGTGGTGAGATCACAGCTCACTGCAACACCAAACTTCTGGGCTCAAGTGATCACCTTGCCTTAGCTTCCTGTGTAGCTGGGACTATAGGCACGCACCACCACGCCTGGCTAATATTTCTACTCCATCTCTGTTCTGATCCCAAAGATGGCGGGTTTTTTTTTTGAGACAGAGTCTTGTTTTGTTGCCCAGGCAAGAGCAAGTGCCATGGTGTCAGCCTAGCTCACAGCAACCTCAATCTCCTGGGCTCAAGCAATCCTCCTGCCTCAGCCTCCCAAGTAGCTGGGACTACAGGCATGCGCCACCATGCCCGGCTAATTTTTTCTGTATATGTATTAGTTGGCCAATTAATTTCTTTCTATTTATAGTAGAGAGGGGGTCTCGCTCTTGCTCAGGCTGGTTTTGAACTCCTGACCTTGAGCAATCCACCCTCCTCAGCCTCCCAGAGTGCTAGCATTATGGGCATGAGCCACGGCGCCCGGCCCCAATTAACTTTCAAACAGGCTCTGAGACCTGGGTAAAGCAGACTGTAAGAGGTCCTGCTTTGGAATGAAACCCACCCTCCACAGCCACCCAGACTCCACTGTAGTCACCAGTGGGGAAAGGTTCAGCACCTAGCCAGGGGCTCACTTCCTGGCAAAGTGCTTTCTTATTTTGGGTTCACAAAGGCCTCCTTGCAATGTGCACTCTGCTATCTGTTCTGCTCCCTAGAGCTGCCCTAGGGAGTTGGCTTCCTCTTTGAGAGTCTGGCCCAGACACAAAGAAAAGTCTTAGGCAATCTCCTGCCCCCTTCTCCATTTCCCCAAACTCAACCCATCTAATCTAGTCCTTCTGTTTGCTTCTCCTCACCATGTGATTTCCCTTCCCTGGGGACACCAGATAGACCCAGATGCCGCTTGTCCTCTGACTTCCCACAGTCACAAGGATGCTTTAACTCTTATCACCCCAAACATCACCTGTGGCCTGGCTGCCACACCACTCAGCAAGAACTGCCTGTGGGGAAACGTCAACTTTGCCTAGCTTTTGGTCTTTCAAAGTTCCAAAACCAAAGACCTGTTCAACAATAGTTGTCAGAATGCCCTTCTCCTTGACTGGCAAGGACACCTGAGTTCCACTCATGGGATGGAGTCACCTGGATGCACCTGTGCAACATCGGAACATCCAAGGCACACCCTTCACTTCACTCCCCTGAAGAGCAATACTTTCCTCCCATTTAAAAGTGGGCTCGAGCTATCTAAGGGTCCCATGGCAAATCAGCAACAAACAAAAAACCTAAAACAAAGTTTGAGCTCTCTGATGTCTTCCTTATTTTTGAGCCTCTCTTATCTGAGATGGACCAGAAGAGACAGTGCTTCAGAAACATCCCTCTTCCCATCCCTGATTCTGCTTGGTGCTAGGAACCCACAGGAGCATATTAACACGCAGGTAACTCACTGGGCAGGAGCTGCTGGGGATGCTTTGTGTAGCAATGGCAATTTCTTCATATGTACATATATCAAGGTTGCTTTCTTTTTTCCTCCATGAAGATTTATTTATTTTTGAGACAGAATCTCTCACTCTGTCACCCCAGCTAGAGTGCAGTGGCATCATCATTACTCACTGCAACCTCAAACTCCTGAGCTCAAGCGATCCTCCTGCCTCAGCCTTCTGAGTAGCTGGGACTACAGGCATGCATCATGATGCCTGGCTAATTTTTCTATTTTTAGTAGAGATGGGGTCTTGCTCTTGCTCAGGCTAGTTTCAAACTCCTGACCTCAAGTGATCCTCCCCCCTTGGCCTCCCAGAGTTGCTAGGATTACAGGTGTGAGCCAGGGCACCTGGCCCAAAGGGTTTTTTTTTTTTTTTTTTGAGACACAGTCTCACTCTGTTGGCCAGGCTAGAGTGCCGTGGCATCAGCCTACCTCACAGCAACCTCAAACTCCTGGACACAAGCAATCCTTCTGCCTCAGCCTCCTGAGTAGCTGGAACTACAGCCTGCGCCACCATGCCTGGCTAATTTTTCTATGTATTCTTAGTTGGCCAATTAATTTCTTTCTATTTTTAGTAGAGATGGGGTCTTGGTCTTGCTCAGGCTGGTTTCGAACTCCTAACCTTGAACAATCCACCGGCCTCGGCCTCCCAGAGTGCTAGGATTACAGGCATGAGCAACCGTGCCCACCCAACATCATCATTGTGTAGGGTTTTGGAGAAACGTATGTTGTGAAAATGATCACGCTTGTGCTCCTAAAAGTCAGTCATGGCTCCTGAACGGTTTTCTGCAAGCCTTCACTTTCAGAAATGAAAGGGCAGCCTGAGAGCCAGGCACATCACTTACTTGTAGCAACATGGTTTTGGTTCCTTTGATTTGCCTGATATAAAAGAGGGAAGTCAGCACTCATGAGAATATGGACATTATTTTTAGGATTAAGAAAATACTCTGCTTGTTTGGGTAAAAAAATCCCAGTAGCACAGCTCCACCAGGTTCCATGCCTCACCTTACCACAGAGATTCCATGGGAGTCGTTGAGGAAAAAAATGTGGCACTGTCTGTGAATCTCATAATTTTCAATTATTCTAGAATATTCCTTTTCAAAGTTCCTTGTATGCAGAATAAAAATACCATATTCTGAGAGCACAGACTCTAAAGAAAGGGTATGGACCCCTTAGTAATGGATGAGTTTTCAAGTTTTAACTGTGGTAAAGGCAATACCACCTGTGTTGCCACTAAAATCAAACCAATCTCTATTAGTAATATAGCTTTTAAATGTAACCAACTCAGCAAACTTCTCGTAGATGAACACTGGTCTTAGAGTCACACACTTATTCCTCATTTGATCAATTAAAATGCAGCCACTGATTGTGATAAATAAGCAATTCAAAAAATAATAAACACCTGTGTCTACATCAAGAGTAGCCACTGCATCAGGACATGTGGTGACCTGATTTCTTTTTAACTTCTAGTATTCAATTTGACCTTGAGAACCCAAAGATGAAAAACAATTCAAAATAAGTCCCAGGTGTAAAGATAAGAAGTCATGGCAGCCAAAACCTCTGCTTAGCAGGGCTCTGCTCCATCTCTGCAAACTTCTGCAGGGCAACAACGGGCAGAAAACCTGGCGTGACAGTGTACTTCTGGGGTAGGAATCATAAGAAAGCAAATCACCTAGTCATGAACTGCACAAAACAGCTCAGAAGCATCTGCTCAGAGAAGGAAGTACTTTATGGCTCCTTGGCTCTCTGCCCAGCAGAACAGAAAACGACAAAGGCCCCAAAGGGGAAACTGTGTGTATGTGGACCTTCTCTAAGAGGCTCCCAGGTACATAGAGAGGCAGCCCACTTCTCTTGTTCCGGTGATGCTTTAACGGTATATAAAAAACAGCCCCAGGCAAAAATGCTGGAACAGTCCTGGGGCAGTACACACTGAGCTGTTAGAGGACTTCACTCTGAAAGGCACTGGATTTGGAGAGGGAAGGAGGGAAAGACTAATTTATTTTTAAAAAATAGGCCAGGCGTGGTGGCTCACGCCTGTAATCCTAGCACTCTGGGAGGCCGAGGCAGGCGGACTGCTCGAGGTCAGGAGTTCGAAACCAGCCTGAGCAAGAGCGAGACCCATTTCTACTATAAATAGAAAGAAATTAATTGGCCGACTAATACATATACAGAAAAAATTAGCCGGGCATGGTGGCGCATGCCTGTAGTCCCAGCTACTTGGGAGGCTGAGGCAGGAGGATTGCTTGAGCCCAGGAGATTGAGGTTGCTGTGAGCTAGTCTGACGCCACGGCACTCACTCCCAGGCAACAGAGTGAGACTCTGTCTCAAAAAAAAAAAAAAAAAAAGGTAGGGTTGGAATTCCCAGCAAGGTAAAATGAAGTCAAAGGTCAGGCAGCCTGCCTGCCTGCAACAGTGACAACACTGGCCCTGTTGAGGGGACTGGGGGTATGTTCCTCTCACCTCTCGCTGCTTTGCTGGCTCTGCCTCTTCTGCCTGGGGCCTCTCCCCATGTGTGGCCAGGGCTCAGGCCTCATCCTCTCCCTTCACTGCTGAGCTCCTCTGCCTCACAGCTTTGAACAGGAACTTTCTCCCCACTGAGGGCTCCTTGGGGTCTCTCCCCCACCTTGGTTTTTTGTCTAACTGCACACTTGACATCTAAAGGCACCACAGACTCAACCCATCTAAGCCTGCTCTCCTCCTCTTCCCCTCTGGCCCTCAAATGTCTTCCCAGCAACCTTCCCCATCTCACCAGCAATCCCCGCATTACTACTGCTCAGACGAAAAACCAAGTCACCATCAGCTCTTCTCTTTCTCATTCACCCCATATCCTACCCAAGGGCAAATGCAGTTGCCCCTTATTTAAAAATATACCCAGAACCCAAACAATGGATATGTCCCAAACAATCAGAACAGCACCCTGCCCATGGGAGACAGCAACACCCAGGACTGGACAAGTGGCTGGCTGTCCAGACTTTCGTACTCCGATCACCAAACCCAGAACAGCTCACCAATCAATGTGACCATTTTCCTGTGAGAATGAAGCACCAAACTGTGTGGTAAGTCCACTACCCCTTGACATAGCCACGTAGGTGCTGGGGAAAAGCTGCAGCCTGATTCATGTGCTGAGTCACAAGAGAGGAGAGAGGAAAATTACATACTTCATGAAGTAGCAGCCCAGAACTGTCAGGGGCTGGCACTCCTCCACACGTGGTGCACTGCAGCTCCTGCGGGCTAAGCTGCAGCTGTTCTCAATGCCCCTTCTTCTTGGGTCACCAGGAGAGCCATCTTCTCCCTTTACTGCCTTCGGGGGGAAAAAGATGCTAGTAATCACAAATGTTGGGACCCAAGCCAAAGACCAAGTGGCCCCAAGTTTTCATATGCTTCCTTTGCTTTTGTTCAACTCAGTGACGGAAGCAAACACGTGTATTTTTAGTAACTGCCTTAATCTGGGTCTTAAATACAGTATTAGGAGACAATGCAAGATTTACTGAGAAAAAGTGAATTTTTAATTATCTTGTGAATCTACTTAGAAAAACACACACAAGCAATGTTCACAACTATAAATTTAAACCTTTTGCACTAAAAAAACACAAAACAACAAACACAAAACCACAGGCATGAACTGTAAACCTGTATTAATTATCAACTAGTCTTAAGGTTAATTCTTAGCAGTAATTCAGTATTTTCCTCATTGGCAATTATAATGTTTTAGCACCAGATGATCTCCCAGAGGTACTAGTAACAGCTCTGGCTGCCAGTGTAGGGAGATGCTACACACACACCACTTCACACACGCAGCCCCCTCACAGCCCCCAGGTAGGAGGCACCTAGAGATGGGGCCACAGGCTGACTTTCAGGGCAACGGAAACAGGACGGGCCGCACCTCTCATGTAGTGCACTCATAGAAAAAAGGCCAGCTCTCGCTCCCAGGCGTGCTCTCGCCCCCAGACTTTAATACCATGATTTAGAAGATGCAGACGTTATTGCCTAAATATTATTCTATACATTTCCATCAGTGTTCAGGAAAAAACTTTAATTGCTACTCAATTTACACCATAATTACTGGGTTACAGCTTTAGCTCATTGGCAATTTTGGATGCAATATTTTTGAAGGCTATGGATGTCCCTGATATCCGCTTAAACCGGACCCCGTTCAGAGACAGTCTTGGCAGCTTGCAGACCTCCATCTCCCACTGCACGAGGCTCTCTGCGTGCCCATCGCCATGGACGCAGAAGAGCAAGAAGCGCTCTCGCTGCTCATAGTCACAGTTATTGGCGTCCAGCACTTTGCGGATTTCCCGCATCATGTCGCCAGGATCCATGGAACTAGTGGTTTTCATGCTCCAGGTGAAGCGCAGGGAGCGAGGTTTTGCTTCTTTGTTCTCATCCTTTTGTTCAGCAGATACGTTGCGACTGAAACGCACAGTGGCAAGTTTTTTAATTGCACAGGAAAGTCAACCTTTTCTACTTCGGCTAGTTCATAATCCACCTTTTCATTACAATTAACCAGCAACCTCCACATTTTCCCTACAGACTCACATGTAGTAACCTGTTCCTTTACTAAGATGTTTATTTTCATTACCCCCTCCCCCAATCATAACCCATACACCCCAAAAATCTACCTGGCTGGAAAATCTTCATTAGCCACTTGTACTTACTAAAATAAGAAAATAACTATTAAGCAGAATCCTTGGCAATCAGGCGAAGCCAAGAGAGCACCCCACATCTCTGCATGGGCTCCACGGGCCCAGCTAGGGAGGGAGGCCTGAACGACCCACCGCCTCTCCTGTCCTGCCACACTGCTCCTTCCACGGCGACCACTGTTGACTGGTACTCGCGATAATGGGGACTCAACATCCACCAGATGCTGAGCACCATCAGGTGGGGGGGGGCATTTTCTCAGTCACCTCTACACACCTCATTGTTCTTCCTTCTGTTTTGTTGATTTAAACTTCCAATTTCATAAACAATTACACTGAAATAGATGGAAAAATGAAATGTTCGAAGACAGCTCATTTGTCTGCAGGGACTGAACTGTCTGTGCCACGTGGACTCAGAGTCTGAGCCTGGGTCCTGCTGCCCTGGGGGAGGCATGTGCAGGGCTGGGTTTCTAGGGAACCCCACAGCTCACCAGATGTTCCTTAGCACTTAGGCACTATTGCCACAAGTCATCATTTACATCCTCATGTATGTATTTGGAGGCTTCAATTAAGACAGTGAGTACTGAACCTCTTGGGCAGTAACAACACTATTATATGTATGTTAAATATACTCCACCCTACGGCACATTCATCAGAGCTGAGGGGCCACAGGTTTTACCTATGCACATGGCTCTCCCTGTCACCAATCTGCTAAAACATTCAGTTTAGTTTACAACCACCAAAACCGATTAGAAGCTTCCTATGTGTAAAATGCTGTGATACTAAAGAGGTTACAAAAGTGAGTGAAAGCTCTCAAACTAATTTGGGGCCAGGAAGACTGTGAAATAAGGCAATAGCAGCAGCACAGGAAAGATGGGGCAATGCCTAGAGGGTCATGGGAGAGGAGGGAGAGCCCGCCTCATGGGAGGACTGAGGTTCAGTGAAAGGCAGGGTAGAACCATGAGGAAATGGCTTCGGGGTGGCAGGGATCTGAGAAGACAAACAGAGAGCCCATGGGATTTCACAAAATACAATAGATGGGGGAGGAGAGTTGTTGTGTTGAGCAGAGGCTATCATGAGTAAAGGTAAGGAGACTGGAAAGTATGAAATGTTTAGTGGCACAATAAGTGCAGAGATTGACTAGAACTGGGGGCACAGTGCTGTCACCCCATAAGTGATCAGCATTTACTAAGCACTTGTGGTGGCCCGGCTCAGGACTACTTGATACCAGGAGGTAGACCCTGTTGTCACCTTCCTATTATGGATGGGGAAATGAGTTAAGTCAGTTCAAGCCTGCTCTAACCTGGGGTGGGCACTCACTCCAACACTCTGCCTCGATGGGGCAGAAGAGCGGGGGCTGTGGAGGTGGCCTGTGTCGTGCCACAAAGGGCCTCATGGGGACCTGGTTGGTTAGGTAGTGAGGGCCACTGAAGGGGTTCATTCAGAAAAGCTGTATGACCAGAGCTGTGCTTTAGAAAGGAAGAGAGCTGTGCCCAGGAAGAGAGCAAATGGGTTAGAGTGGGCCTGCTATAAGACAGGGCACAAGTGGAAGACATCTAGAACCAGGGACACAGAGTCCTAAGCCTATCTGGTGACATCTCTCTCATATCCTATGCAGTGACAGCTATACAAAATTGAAAAGCAAAACATTTGACTATATAATCATCATTCTTGAAATATGAAAATCTTATTAAGTGTTTTGCTTTTATTCCTTGAGCCAGGCAAGGAGTCAGTTAGAGTTGAGGGCCTATCCTATGAGCACTGCTACTGACCCCCAGAGTTCCAGGTCCCAGCTGGGCCATTAACGCCTGGGCCAGAAGGCTGACACCGCTGAGCAGACAGAGGTAAAACTCAGCCACTGGAATCAGTGAGGCTTGTGTGACACACTGGCGCCCTCATGTGGACACCGGGTGCAGTGCAGCCTCCTTGCTGGGCCAGCAGCAGCAGGGCCCACCTCACCCAGCACCTATGCTGCCGCAGGAATAGGGTGCAGAACATTCAGAAATGAATAAAAATTATTTCCCTCACCTTGAGCCCTCATATCTCCCGTTCCTCTCATATTCAGTTGGAAGCCTCAATGAACAGAATGTAGAAGCAAAGAGAAGTGGGAAAGAGAAGAGAAATCTTACATACCAGTACATGACCATGCACATACCAACACAAGCGTCATGAGCAAACCTAAAGTTCCTGTGTCCCCAGTAGGGCTTATTAAGGTGTCTCCTCTCAGTTTGACTCTCCCGAAGGCTGCGTACAGGGGCGGGCTGCACTCCCGCTGGGCTCCTCAGTCTGAACACATTCACAGCCAGGCACTGGTGCCATCCTCACTTTTTAAACACTCCCCATGGAAGAATGGGCTTCCAATTAAAAGGCAATGAGACTCTCAGTTGAAGTCTACTTTCAATTATAATATTTTCTAAGGAAAAAATTGACAACTGGGAAGATCAGTTAAAAAATAAAAAATAATCATGGAACGGTATCTGCAGCAGGAAGGACCCCCCCTTCGTCCCTAGTTCCACCTAACGAGCTCAGGTTAACAGAGCCTTGCAGAGATCCATCAATCTAATATGTAAAAAAAATTCGCAGCATGGGCTTCCAGTGATTCGAGAGGCACTGGCATAAGAGCGGCCTTTTTTTTTTTTTTTTTGAGACAGAGTCTCGCTTTGTTGCCTAGGCTAGAGTGAGTGCCGTGGAATCAGCCTAGCTCACAGCAACCTCAAATTTCTGGGCTCAAGCAATCCTTCTGCCTCAGCCTCCCGAGTAGCTGGGACTACAGGCATGCGCCACCACGCCCGGTTGATATTTTCTATATATATGAGTTGGCCAATTAATTTCTTTCTATTTAGAGTAGAGATGGGGTCTCGGTCTTGCTCAGGCTGGTTTCAAACTCCTGACCTTGAGCAATCCGCCCGCCTCGGCCTCTCAGAGTGCTAGGATTATAGGCGTGAGCCACCTTGCCTGGCCAAGAGCGGCCCTTAATGGCAGATTTCCTGCCTCATACATGTACATTCTAACAGCAAAATTTTGGGTATCTTGACTGTCACCATCAAAAAATATTAATCAAATCAGAATACTATTTACTGCAATGCTTTAAATAATGAGATAGGCTTTCTTCAGTGGTTAGTGGCAAGTGGCAATAGATAGAATTCTATTTACTCTTCAGCTCTCCCAAAATATAAAAACATTCTGCTATGGCTGCTGCTCACATCTTAGTTTCTGAAAAAGCCAAACCAAATGAGGCTGTAGATTTGGATTTTATGCTTGTTTCAGTATCAGAGTATTTGCTAATGTCCCTGTCATTTTCAAGCCTTTTGTTAATTTCAATCCCCAGGGAACTAAAAATGAAGACAAACACAATTACCACTTACCTTTGACATGCTTGTGGCTAATAATTAATTGTATATTAACATTACTGAATGTCTCATTCTTCCAACAGGAGCATGCTAAGTGTTATTAGTATGAAAACAGAATTATTTGGATGCTAAATAATTCTACCAAAGGAAGAAAATGCACAGAGCATGCACAGGCCTTTTTCTGCATGGGCAACACGTCCCTTTGAAATGCCTGACAGAGTTAATCTATTTCTTTCCAGTTTCCTCTCAAGGAAATAAGTATTTAGTTATCAGCAGAAAGTTTAGTTTTTAAGAAAAAAACAAGGCCAGAAAGCCAAACCTGATGTTAATTGCAGGGGCCATGTGGGGGTGAGGATTGAAAAATAAATGTGTTTTTATAAATCCTACCTTTTGATAAACCTGAATGACATGTTTCTAAAAGAAATTAAGTAAAAAAAAAAAAAAATTAACAAAAACAACTTATACAAATTAAACAGAAAATCTAATAAATTATATATAGAGAAAGAAAAAACCTAAATTAAACAGGGCTTCTTTTCTGGCCAATAAACAATAAAATGGTGACATTTGTTGAAAAAGTAAAATTATTACAGATAATTATATGAGTATGTAATATTTTAACCAGAAATGTTAAAAAAATCTATGCTTGTAAGAAAAAGTTCAGCAGTAAATACTGACATCAGATGTAATTAAATCTATTTAAAGTTCTTCAGGTGGACATACTTTTAAGATAAAACTTAACATCTTGTGTTAAAGAAATGACAAGCTATGTACAATGTACTAGTAATAAAACAATCTCTCAATTTTCTTCAGAATATTTTATGAATAAACAAACATCTTGCCTTCTTATACATAAACATAAAAGATTTTCATTATAACATATTTAACCATTAAGAAGATCACTACTTCTTTCAGGAAGATAATTTAAACATTAACAGGATATTTACTACAATGATGTGATATAAATCACTTTAAGAAAAATAGGTTATTGGGGTTTAAACTGAAGTAGACATTCCAGTTTCAGATCTCAAAATAAATAAAAATTAAGTAACAAGGTAACAGTATGGATTTTATTTTTATGTAACAAACTGGAAGGACTGTATTTAGAAAGGGTGGTGACTCTGGTCACTAAAAAAGTTTAAGGAGATGCACAGGCTGTGCCAAATAGGATCTGACAAAAGATTTTTCCAACTAGGGATCAGATTTTTATTTTTTAATTTTTTTGAGACAGAGTCTTGCTCTGTTGCCTGGACTACAGTGCCTTGGCGTCAGCTCAGCTCACAGCAACCTCAAACTCATAGACTCAAGCAATCCTTCTGCCTCAGCCTCCTGAGTAGCTGGTACTATAGGCATGTACCACCATCCCTGGCTAATTTCTATTTTTAGTAGAGATGGGGGTCTCAAGTGATTCTCTTGCTAGCCTCCCAGAGTGCTAGGATTACAGGCATGAGCTACTGCCCCCGGCTTGGATAAGATTTTTTGATCATGTGATCGGCTTCCCTGGGCAAGTACAGGCCAGGCTTGTTAACTTCTATTTGTTTTTTTTTTTTTTTAATTTATAGTAGAGACGGGGTCTCGCTCTTGCTAAGGCTGGTTTTGAACTCCTGACCTTGAGCAATCCGCCCGCCTCGGCCTCCCAAGAGCTAGGATTACAGGCGTGAGCCACAGCGCCCGGCCTAACTTCTATTTGTAAAGGCCAGTTCTGTAACTGGACACAACTGGCAATGATATATACCTGCTGAATAACTAAATTAATGAAATCCTTGGACTTTTACTAATCTGGGATAACTCTGGCATTGCTCCAGATACTAACTAATTAAAAAAAAGTCTATATAGCACTCTGGGAGGCCAAGGTGGGAGGATTGCTCAAGGTCAGGAGTTCGAAACCAGCCTGCGAAAGAGCAAGACCCCGTCTCTACTAAAAAATAGAAAGAAATTAATTGGCCAACTAAAAATATACAGAAAAAATTAGCCGGGCATGGTGGCGCATGCCTGTAGTCCCAGCTACTAGGGAGATTGAGGCACGAGGATTGCTTGAGCCCAGGAGTTTGAGGTTGCTGTGAGCTAGGATGACACCACGGCACTCTAGCCCGGGCTACAGAGCAAGACTCTGTCTCAGAAAAAAAAACCACAAAACAGTCTAACTATTGTAAATAACTGCCAACCACTTCATTATCAGATCAGAAGTGGTACCCAGCAGGGTATCTACGTAAAGAGGACCACCCATGTAAGAACATTTTGTAAAGAAATACTATATAAATATAAGGTGGTATTATTCCAAAGATTATTTTAGTTGAAAAATGACTAAAAATTCTTTAAAATATATTTTCATTTCCTAATTTTGTATCTGGAAAAAGTCAGGGTTACTGGTCAAATACCATAGGATGAATTTTCTTAACTTTTCTTTCCATGAATCCCGTGAGGTATAAAGAGGAAGGGGGACGCTATAGGATGGAGGCCTCTGCACTCTGGCCCAGGCCACATGGGCAAATCTGAGCAGGCCAGGTTTGGCCGCAAGAGGGGAGAGTTTCCCTCCTTACTACGAAGGGTTCACAGCTCCCCAAAGCCATGTGCTCTCCAGGCAGAGTGTAGGTCTTCTGACACCAGCCCTCCTCACTTAGCCAGGCCCTGTCTCCCTTGCAGCACCTAAGTGCAAGTATCCTAGTCTCTCAGGCACTGCAACTTTAATCCTGGCAATTACTGCTAAGGGAGGAGAAAAAGCTTCAACCACTGCAGCAAGGACCCTGGCTGTTTTTAGGGGCAAGCTGCCTGTAACTGAAGGATGACTAAGGGAGGCGACAGGCCTCAGTTTGCAAGCCTTAACAAGACAAAAGATTATCTACAAAAACTGAGGGGTAGAAATACTGGGAAATTTGGAAGTTGTAGAATAAAACAATCATCTAGGTTTTTGGTTTTTTTTGAGATAGGATCTCACTCTGTCATCTGTCGCTCAGGCTGGAGTGTACAGTGGCACCATGATAGCTCACTGCAACCTGAAACTCCTGGACTCAAGCGATCCTCTGGCCTTAGCCTCCCGAGTAGCTGGGACTACAGGTGCGTGCCTAGCTAATTTTTCTATTTTTACTAGAGATAGGGTCTCATTATCGCCCAGGCTGGTCTCAAACTCCTGGACTCAAACAATCCTACCACCTCAGCCTCCTAAAATGCTAGGATTACAGGCATGAGCCACTGTGCCTGGCCAATCACCTAGAATTTTTTAATCAAGAAACCTGTCTCAAATTTCAATGAAAATACATGTAATAAATGTAATTAGGAAATAAAAGGATTCAGGCCTGTACCAGTCCTTCACTGAGTTTTCTAAGAAGGCACAAGTGTAGTGACTTAAAAGGCTTCCGCTGGTCTCAGACCTGGTTCTGCATGACACTTTTCTGCTGTAGGACCTTAAACATGTACCTCCTCTTTGAATCTCATCTTCAGTGTCTTCTATGAAATGGGGAATAAATATCTACTCCACAGGGTGGACTGTGGTGATATAGTGAGTGTGTATATATTATAAATATAGATATATATTTATAGATATTCCCATAAAGTTTTGTGTATATATAATAAATATGTGTGTATATAACATATTTATATGTGTATAAAATGAGTATATCTATGTATTTACAGACATCTATCTATCTTAGGACATAGCAGGCACTCAGATAATGGTGGCTGATATTTTTATCATTGATGGTCTTAAGACCAAAAAAAGGAGCACAATAGTGACCATTAAATAAACTCAAGGATTTAAATAATGTGCAAGGTTTTATTTAAAGAGCCCATTACAGAACAAAATGTATGGACATGAAGCTGCCTTTCTGAGCTTAGGCAAACCTGGACAGCTGCACATTCATTTGTGCTTGGGGCTCTGAGGGGAAACCCCTGTTGATATTAAGCAGGAACAGAAGGTGAACAACCACATAAATGGCTCCACCTTCTACCACCCAAGCAGAGGCAGATTTCATTTTAGCCTAGTCTCCATGGAAGATGCCAGAGGACAAGGAAGCCTGGGACAGGCCATGTGGTGACCCTGAAAGGATTTGTTGTGGGGGGGTCAACAGACTCTTTGGATTGAACTTACTATCTCTCTTGTTGGTCATGAACCCAGCCCCAAAACTGGCAAGGCCCTTTAGACCACTTTGTTCTGCCCAATCTGGAAATGGGTGTCTTAGTAGAGTGGCTGAGGAGAGAACAAGAAGGTACACTAAAACCTTTTGATTTGTCTGACTTCTAGTTAATGCTAGAAGATATCAGAAATCCTTCCGTAGCTACTATTTGATATCCTAACAATAAATAGATCAGACTATTTAATGTGACTCACCTAAGTTTTAGATGATTAATCTGGAGAAACTAAGAAGACTGAAAAGTGACATTGGCTTACCGTTTAAATAACGGCAACAGCTAACACTAAGCAGGGTGCTAACAGACCATGGGGAACACAGAGAAACAGAGGGGGGGGGCACTGATGATCCCAGACTTGGGAACACTCCTATGCTGTCCTGTAAGACACAGGTGACAGACAAGAGGGGCTCTACCAGGCAAACCTGCAAGAAACCTCATACAGACCAATCCACAGCCAAGGGAATTTCAAAAAATTCCCTTGGGGGAGTCCCAAAACTGCAGGGGCTTTTGGGTTTCTGGGATTTATTCCTGGCTAAAGGTGCCTTTCACTATTTGTTTAAGGTTCAAAATGGGATCCTTTCTTTTTCCTCTGGAAGCAACCAATATTTCTAGGCTTTTGCAACATGTATATAGATCATGGAAATGAACGGAAAATTACCTCAAAGGACCTGTAGAGTTTCCCAAGGCCCAAAATGAGAGCCTAACTAGACACAGGGAACATTTTATACATAACCTGATATTACTGTTATTTTTTCTTTCTTATGTCCTGGATGTGCTAAGAGGATATATTATTTTTTGAGAATAAACCCAGAGCTTTTTTTTTTTTGAGACAGAGTTTCACTTTGTTGCCCAGGCTAGAGTGAGTGCTGTGGCGTCAGCCTAGCTCACAGCAACCTCAAACTCCTGGGCTCAAGCAATCCTGCTGCCTCAGCCTCCCGAGTAGCTGGGACTACAGGCATGAGCCACCATGCCCGGCTAATTTTTTCTATATATATTAGTTGGCCAATTAATTTCTTTCTATGTGTAGTAGAGATGGGGTCTCCCTCTTGCTCAGGCTGGTTTCGAACTCCTGATCTCAAGGAATCCACCCACCTCAGCCTCTCAGAGTGCTAGGACTACAGGCATGAGCCACTGCGCCCGGCCAAACCAGGAGTTTTATCTCTAAAATCATACCTTTAAAGAAAGTTATCCTGCTCTCACACTAAGAGAACAATTTCAAGATTTGGACTTTTAGAAACTTAGTGCTCCTTAATGACAATTAAGTGAGAAAAGAGGAAATGTCCCTCTCCTTTGTGTCTAGGAATTGCTACAAAGGCTGCATTGTCCTCCTGCGTGATTGCTACGGGGCGCCAGTCCCTTGCTTACACCAGAACTGGAGTTCTGCTAAACTGCAGTAGAACATACATGTGACCAAAAGGAATAGTAATTAAAGAAAATAAAGAAAAACTCCCAAATGCTAGACAACTTTGAGTGTTACGGAAAGACTCTGAGCTCTGTAATTTCTATTTTAATGGTTTTAATGTATAAAGTTAGAGATATATATAAACCAGAAAAACATGAGCTGAAGGCAGAACAAAAAATATCTGGGCAGTGGCTTCACACAACAGAAAAACATTTCTCCTTGTGTTCTATGTGTTCATTCCAAACAACCAGCATCACCTGACACTTACCTCCTTGTGAGTTTTGAAGTTAATTTACTAAAAAGATTAGTGGAGCCTCGGCTTCGAGTCTGGGACAACGGTGTGGCTTCATGGGACAGGCTGGGAGAGGCAGGGGGGCCGTTATATGTTGCAGTTCGCCTCTCCCGTGGCTGGCCATGGAAAGTGCTACGACTGGCAGTGCCTCTGGGGAAGCGGATTCGATCCGGGGTGGTTGCACTGCTAATACTGTGTGTTGAAGCAACTGGAGTTCTCTGATCAGGAATAGTGCTGTGGAGATCAGAAAATAAGAGACTTTTAACAAACATGGCATATAAAATTTACAATCACAATATACCTTCTATACACAGTGGAGAAAATCAGGTGTAATCAATCCAGATCCAAGGGGTATTTCACAGAACTTAGGAGTACCAGGTAAGTTAAATGGGAAAGGGTACCAAAAGAATAGTATATAATGAGACAAAGCCTCATAGAGTTTAAGGGAATAGTATATATATATTTTTAAGGACAAGGTTAATGCAGGGAAATTCTAGGACAGAGATTGGCTAACTCAAGCTTTTCCCCTCTGCTTCCCTCTCAAATTGCTTACACGTAGAAAACCGTGCCAATATGAAAGAAATAAGGATATGCAGGCATACTTGAAGAATCGGCAACTAAAAAGTTTTGGAAGCACACAAACGGTATGAATATAAAATTCCACATGCTGAAAGCAACTTGGGGAGGAGCAGGAACTTCTTACACCTTTGTAGTATGCAAAGGCATGAAGACACACACAGATGACCAAGGACACCATGAGACAGGATATGCTTAAACTAAAATCACAATGAAGAGGGACACTTTGTAGACAACTATAACAAAATCTTGGATCATAAAATCCACAGCACAAAATTAAGAAGCAGTGGGTACACATTAGTTTCACAAGGAATGTGCATTTTTCTTACATAGCCTTGAAGTTATCTCCTTCACTGTCTATTGGAGGTAACATCATCTTGGGGTGCCCCGAGGCTGACATGGACATCGACTTCTGATGTCTCAGCCGACAGGTAGAAGATGTGGTACAAACTGAGGCAGGGCTAGCTGCATAAGCGAACATTTCTGTCAGGCTGGGAGGGGGTTTGGGTTCAGGCAGAGGCAGAAACAACAGTTTGATGGAGCAGTGACCACAGAGCAACCTGCTGTGTAATGTACAAACCTTCCTCCCCAAACCATGTCATGTTTTTCAAAGAACAAAACTCTCTTAAACTTGTTTTGGGGATTCTGGAGCAACTGCTAACCTGCAGCTGTTTTTTTTTTCAAACAGTAATCTTAAGGGTTTATTATATTAAACAAAAGAAAATAGCTTATATGTTTGAACATTTATGCGAGAAGGATGATGTCCTCCAAGCTATGCATAAAATAAAGCCTATTCTAAGAGATATCTCAAGTCAAGTGTAAGTGGTAAAGTGAATACATAACATGAGCTTACTGTGCTTTCAACTTGTGCCCAAAACACACTGACATATTTTAAATGAACTAATAAGATTATGGGTATAGAAACTAGTTATTATATAACAGAGTATTCTATGTTGTTTTAACAATATAGTTTAGAATCTTCTTATCCAAAGGACATTTATAAGGAGTCCTTTATTCTTTACAAAGAATAGTCAAAATCCCCAAAGGGTTAACAGAGCCCCTTTATTCAAGAAGGAAAAACTCATGCCTGTAATCCTAGTATTCTGGGAGGCCAAGACTGGCAGATCGTTTGAGCTCAGGAGTTCGAGACCAGGCTGAGCAAGAGCGAGACCCTCTTTGTACTAAAAATACAAAGAAAAATAGAATCTGAGGGTATTTTGTAAAGAAAAAGAATAAAAAAAAAAAGAAAAAAAAATACAAAGAAATTAGCTGGACAACTAAAAATATATAGAGAAAATTAGCCAGGCATGTTGGTGCACGCCTGTAGTCCCAGCTATGGAGGCTGAGGCAGAATGATTGCTTGAGCACAGGAGTTTGAGGGTGCTGTGAGCTAGGCTGATGCCATGGCACTCTAGCCCCGGCAACAGAGTGAGACTTGTCTCAACAACAACAACAACAACAAAAAAAAAAAAAAAAAAAGAAGAAGGAAAAATCCATGAGAAAAAAATTAACTGTTTATAGACACAGAAAGAGTGATAGAGTGCCTGGAAGTCTGTAGTTTCACCTGGCACAGACAGCTACTGGACAAAACTATCCACAGGAGTCTCACCAACACTACACTATTCCAGCTCAGTCATCGTGTCCTTAGAATTTCAAAGGTAGAGTTTCTTTCCTTTAAGAATAAGCAGGGATTTAGAATTCTGATCATATTCTTCCAGTGTCTTTCTGTAGAAATCCTTGCAAAGGACTGAAATGTAGAAACTGGCAGGTTCTTCCCTTTTCTCACTTCCCTTTTGTATTTATAACTGATTATCTTTATAGAAACTCTAATTCACTTATTAAAGGACAGGCACTCTGAATTTGTTTGCTAGAACATCTATCCCATAAAGAATCATTTTGATATGAAATGTTTTGGTTGCCAATTAAAGGCATTTTCAGTGACTGGGCAAAAACAGACTTAAAAATATAGTCCAAAAGATACGTGTGTTACCTGTCATCGATCCTTCTCTGCTCAATCTCTGTGGCTTAATGCAGGGCAAATGGGTAAGTGGATAAAATAATAAAGTCACTTCACTATTTGAAACTTTTGCCAATGACATCCAATACTTCAAACTTCTTTGAAAACCTTCTGTTGTGTTTTACCCTATCACCATACGTTAATTCTTTGGGAGGTCTTTAAACGAACACAGTCTAAATAACCTCATGCAGATATCTAAAAGCATATTAAAAAGTGGGGGTGAAGTAGCCCTGCTATATAGGTTGTTCAGCAACATTAACTTGAGAGATTAGGTATAGTTAGTGTAAACTAAGAAAATTCTTCACATTCTTGTCTGAGCAGTCTGTGCTCAGTGGTTTAACTCCCACTATGACACTACATCATCTTGGGAAAGTCATACCATTAGAGATGTCATCAAACCTTCAGAAGCCTAAGCCTAGTTTATACCGACTGTCAGTCACAGCTGGAACCAGGCCATGTTTTGGAGACTGATAACAGCAGTAGAACAGTCACATCAGCAGGATTGCAGCAGAAAGGAGGCTGACGTTCAGCACACCTGGTTTCAAGGCGAGTCTTACTCAGAAAACTCTCACAGGTGTTTGTGCCAAAGCAACAACTTGCCAAAAGCTATGCTTCTCCGCCCCCAAGACCAATGATTATTTTTCATACAGTAAAGCTGATAAAACAGAAAGATTGTACTAGTAAGAATCAATTCATAAAACAAATTTTAAAAAGAAAAAACTATTAAAAATCAATTATATTGCCTATGGCAAAAGGCAAAAAATCTACATTTGGTAAGCCTCTAAAAGATCATCCTATGTTTGGTGTAAAATTTTGAAGGCAGTTAAGGGCTCATTTAAGGCATGTAGAGCCTTTGGTTCAAACCTTTTCACAGTTTTTATCAGCCATGATCATTCTCATGGTGGAATTCTGTATAAACACTCACGTACAGAAGAAAACAGTCCAACATATTTAAGGCTATAAATGGAACTTAGTGTGCTTGTTTCAGAATTAACATAGGTTCCAGCATCCTATATCTCACTAGTATTTTCAATTAGTGAAGGAGTAAGATATACAGCTGGGAGAGGAGAGGAGAGGAGAAAGCAATAATCTGATTAAGAAGAAATTCATGCAGAGAAGGCTAACTGCATCTAATTGAAGACTCAAGCATCTTTTTTTTTTTTTTTTTTTTTTTTTTTTTAATGAGACAGGGTCTCGCTCTGTCGCCCCAGCTAGAGTGCAGTGGTGTCATCATATTCACTGCAACCTCAAACTCCTGGGCTCATGTGATCCTCCCACCTCAGCCTTCCAAGTAGCTGGGTCTACAGGTGTGTGCCACCACGCCAAGCTAATTTTTCTATTTTTAGTACAGATGGGGTCTTGGTCTTGCTCAAGCAAGTCTCAAACTCCTCACCTCAAGCCTCCCATCTCAGCCTCCTAAAATGCTAGGATTACAGGCCTGAGTGACCATGCCCAGCCTTAAGCATCATTTTTAAGGGACAGAAAGTTGTCACACAGAGTGCCTTAGCTGAAAGTAAAAAATACAACCACTAGTTCAGTCCTCAAACCCAATAATTTTCCACAGTCTTTCAATTCATTTGTAAGATAGAAATAAAAAGAAAATCCAGACATTATTAAAACTATGGACTGTCTTGTGTGGTTTGGCACTGAGGCTCTGTGTAGCAAAAGATAATAGACAAAACCTTCAAAAGCAAAGTATTTCAATGATTTATAGTAAGAGAAGCAATGGGGCCCAGGTCAGGACCTAGAGGAGTCAGCCCTAATAAGGAAGGTATCAGCAGCAGGGGGGACACAGAAAGGAAATGACTCCAAAGAAATTTTAAAAAGCCTTAAAAACTATTTTCAAAGAGTGAAACAAATAATCGTAGGAAAGGAGAATTAGAAGAGCACAGGCATAAAGTTCCTGGTGCATGTGTATCCACAGAGAGAGGATGGGGAGCAGAGAGCTGTGGTCTCAACAGCTATAAAAAGTCTGACTCTGCAATTCACAGTCACATATCCTAAAGTTCAGAAGGAGCCTGACAGAGCAATTCAACAATTCAGAAGCATTTGTAAAAACAAGCAAAGTCAGGAAACAACAGTTTTCTAGTCCTGTAGACTGAAATCCACAATGTTAGAAACTTCTAATTAAATCTTCTACAGATATCACCTATATCACTTTTGAACTAGAAGGTATTTGAGAGAGAACTATAATAAAATCTACCAAAGAATAAACTACTATTAAAAAATAATTATACAATCCCTATCAATTAAGTTCTGAATAGTTTTTAACCATAAGGAAAAAGATAATGTTAAAACATATACGAGTTAGAAAAGAGAACACTGGAATGTCAATATTGCTAAAATTCACTGAATAATAAACTATTCTTATATAACAAGCTGTACTCCCCATAACAATTCAAAATTAAGTGGTCTACTAATAGGGAAATGAGAAATAGTTTGGTTTTAGAAAGGAGGAGAAAAGAAGAATCCTTGCTTAGGCTGTCATATTAGTGAGTGATCAAACTTATGGTTTGACAAAAGAGATGAAATGTAAGATTAAGGAAACAGAAACCTTAGAATACAATTTGAGAAAGTAAATGTCAGAAGAAAATAAAGAAACAATTTTGATGCTAGACATGAGCAAACAATGTTCAAGTTAGGAGGACAATGTAGGCTTATTTTTACAGATTTTTACTCCAGGATTCATGTAGACTTTTATCTCTTTATTTCTATCTTTGAATTTAGTTCATATGAGACTCTTATGGAAAGAAGGAAAATCCATGCCAGCCTGGGAAATTTGTTCTATACAGAATAAACTGTATTTAACCACTCTCTACCAACTCAACTTCTCTTTTTTTCTCCCCCCAAACTAACCCTACCCTCATGGTTTCTGAACCTACCTAATTCTACTTTGCTGATTCTATTAATAATTTCAAGAAAGTTGTCTCCATATAATGCTCTCTTTATTGATACATTACTTTATTAGTATTTTAAATCATGTTCATTCATTCTGTGTATTCTTGCCCCTCAGCCAGATTACAAACATTCAGAAGATTGGACTCCCCATTTCTCTCGGATGCTCAAGCATATCTCTTTCTAAGGTAGAGACTGTGAGCACTCACTCTCTCTAGCTTGTTCTCTACATCTTCCGGGTGTGGCTCCTGCCTCAGGTCCTCATCCTGCTCCCCCAGCCCTCTGCTCCTTTCTTCAAGTTATTAATGTGCACAAAATAACCTTCATTTCCCTCCCTATTCACTGTTCTACAGTGAAACCATGGCTTACTTACTGCCTACCTCTCCTAGGAAACCTTGCTGGTTTAATCCAATCCTTTTAATCGTTATATACAGCCAGCCAGGAGGATGGTGCTCTAGACACCAGAAGAATTTGGAACCCTAGTACCTTGCTAAAAATCAGCACTCAAATTTAACTTACCTTCAGAGATACTTACTGTTATTTGAATTTTGATTAAAAAACTGAGAGATAAATAACATGCTTTCATTTCTCTTGGGGAAAAACAAATTTTCTTGCAAACAGGTAAAATTTCATACCTGTTTTCTTTGCCATTCTGAATCACTGAGTGTCTATCAGCTGTAGATCTCTCACTGCAAACATATGTATTTCGCCGTGTCATTCCACCAGATGCTGTGTTACTCTATAAAAAAGGACATTTTTGTCTTAAACAATTTGGTAAGGATAGTACAATGAGAAAAAAAAAAAACAACAGGAGTACTACATAAACAGGAGTACTCAGTCTTTAAATTAAACTATTCTAAAATATCCACAGTAATGACCAAAAGATCAGAAAATGGAGTGAGGACAGCAACCTCTACCCTCTCTTCTGGTGGAAAAAAACATGAAAAAAGGCTAAGGTAGGGTGAATTTAATAATGTTTTATAATTATAAGTAAAGTAATAATTCACAGACTACTTAAATCAAAGTAGGACTATAGGGTGAGCCACCATTTTTAAAAGCAAATACATTCAAAATTTAAAAGTAGGATTATAAATATAAGATAAATATATAAATAATAAAAATGAAGATATAAAACATCAGCAAGATGTTAGATTTGACAACAGATTCATAGATATGACACCAAAAGCATGGGCAATAAAAGAAAAAATAAAGTGGACATCATCAACATGAGAAACTTGTACATCAAAGGCCATTATCAAGAAAGTGAAAAGAAAATCTACACAATGAGAAAATATTTGCAAATCGTATATCTGATTAGGGTCTAGTATCCAGAATGAAGAATTCTTACAACTCAACCACAAAATGAAAACTCAATTTAAAAATGGGCAACTTGAGCCGGGCGCGGTGGCTCACGCCTGTAATCCTAGCACTCTGGGAGGCTGAGGCGGGCGGATTGCTCGAGGTCAACCAGCGTGAGCAAGAGCAAGACCCGTCTCTACTATAAATAGAAAGAAATTAATTGGCCAACTAATATATATATATAAAATTAGCTGGGCATGGTGGCGCATGCCTGTAGTCCCAGCTACTTTGGAGGCTGAGGCAGAAGGATTGCTTGAGCCCAGGAGTTTGAGGTTGCTGTGAGCTAGGCTGACGCCACGGCACTTACTCTAGCCTGGGCAACAAGTGAGACTCTGTCTCAAAAAAAAAAAAAAAAAAAAAAAAGGGCAACTTGAGTGTCTTATAACTAATTATAATGCAAATGAGGGAACCTTTGTAATCTGTTGTTAATGAAAATAAAATGGTATGTTGATGACCTAGGACACCTATGATAACTTTAATTGAGTCTCCTTCAGAACTGTGCTGCTTCTGGTACAATAAAATGTGGAAGAACACTGAAAGAAAAAGGCAACTAGAGGCCAGGTGTGGTAGTTCCACCTATAATCCTAGCACCCTGGGAGGCTGAGGCAGGATGATCATTTGAGCTCAGGAATTCAGGAATTCGAGACCAGCCTGAGCAAGAGTGAGCCCCCGTCTCTACTAAAAAAATAGAAAGAAATTAGTTGAACAACTAAAAAAACCCAATATATGTGTGTGTGTGTACACACACACACACACATATATAATTAACTGGGCATGGTGGTGCATGTCTGCCTATAGTCTAAGCTACTTGGGAGGCTGAGGCAGGAGGATCACTTGAGCCCAGGAGTTTGAGGTTGCTGTGAGCTACACTGACACCACAGCACTCTAGCCCACTCTAGCAACAGAGTGAGACTCCCTCTAAAAAAAAAAGGCAACCAGAATAGACATTTCTCTAAAGAAGTTATACAAATGGCCAATAAGCACATGAAAACATGCTCAATATCACTGGTCATTAAAGAAATGCAAATCAAAACCACAAGATATCACTTCACACTCACTAGGACAGCTATTAAAAAAAAAAAAAAAAAAAAGTGGTGGCATGGCCAGGCATGATGGCTCACATCTATAATCCCAGCACTTTGGGAGGCTGAGGTGGGAGGACTGCTTGAGGCCAGGAGTTTGAGACCAGCCTAAGTAAGAGTAATACCCCATCTCTATAGAAAATAAAAAATAAAAAAAAGTGTTGGCATGGATAAGGAGAAATAGGAACTCTAATATATTGCTGGAAGGAAGGTAAAATGGAGCACTTGGCTGTGGAAAACAGTTTGGCTGTTTCTCAAAGGTTAAACGGGGAGCTACCATGTGACCTAGCCGGTTCATTCCTAGGTATATATCCAAGAGAAACGAAAACATATGTCCACATATAAACTCGCATACAATGTTTATAGTGGCATTATTCATATTAACAGTGGAAATAATATAAATGTCCACCAACAAATGAACAGATAAATTGTGGCACAGATACAATGGAGTATTATTCAGTCCTAGGAAGGAAGAAAACACTAATACATACTACAATTTGGAAGAACTTTGAAAATATTATGCTGAGTTAAAGAAAACAGCATACATAAAAGAATGGATATTGAATGACTCCATTTACATGTAATTTTCAGAACAGGCAAATCCATAGAGACAGAAAGTAGCCTGGTGGTTGCCAGGGCATGAGGGGAAAGGGGGATGGGGAGTAATTACTCAATGGATGCAGGGTGTTCTTCTGGGTGCTGAAAAAATTCTGAAACCAGAAAGAGGTGGTGGCTGCACAATATTGTGAGTGTACTAAATGTCAATTAATTACATATTTTAAAATGGTTAATTATATGTCATATGGATTTCACATCAATTTAACTTTCACACTAAAAAAGCAAGAAACAAAAGTCACAACTAAGAATTTTTATCATGTAATTTTTTTAAAAAAGATAAAGCAGTCACTTTTAAAATAGCAAGAGTAGACCATGTACACAGAAACTAAAAAGACTAATGGGAAAAAATTAAAGTAATGTTGCTAACTACTTTTTTTCCTTTTATGAATAATCAAATATAGGCAACTGTTAATGTTGATGACATACTTTAGAAAGGATAGCATGCGGATAAAAGCAATGGGAATGGAAAGACATGAAGACAGAGAACGAGGTCCTTATCTTCTCTGGGAACTGTCAATAAAAAGTGGAGACTGCATTTTAAGTGCAGAACTATGGAATGACAATTTTATTTCATGGTATTCAGAAGTCAAAATATGAAACTTTTCACACAGTGTTTATTACTTTAAGCACAAGGTTGGAGGATGGAACAGACAAAACCCTTGGGCTCCTTTATGTGCTTGTGCCAAGGATGGCACAATGAGAGATGCCACAGGGAGCAGCAGGGGCCTCAGGGGGTCCTCACCCCCAGGGTTTCTCTCAGAATAACCTTGAGATCGTTCACTTCCCTGCAAATTCTTTATAAAATTATGTCTAGGAGTGCTAAGAATAACTATTACTATCTTAGGTCAGATAGAAGATACTTTAATCCACAGGAAATGTTTCTGAAACTGAATGGATTCAATTTAATTTAGCAAATACTATCTACTTACTGGGGAGATTTTGTTTCAGGTAGAGAGCTGGCTTCAGGTCAGCTGTGTAATTTCAGACAACTACCTAACCTTTCTTCATGTTTCATCTTAAAATTTAGCTAATCCATGGAAACGCACTTAGCATGGTCCCTGACACGTGGTGAGAATTCAGTCAACGTCCTTTATCATAACTGCCCTTTGAAGACTCAGTGCAAACATCACATCCTTGGGGCACCAGCAGTCAGGCCTCCAAGTACATTATGTAGTACATTTAGTACATTTATGTAGTACTTGTAGGACTCTGTCTACCTGTCATCTGTCTGCACTGTCATTGTCTTTTACTTCTTGCTTTGTCAGACTGATGTCTTTCTGTCTCTCAGTGCCTGACATAACCTAGAGCTCAGCATGTCTATGGAACAACTGGAAACGGCACCTGATGTAAAGGACTTCACGACTGGTGTGTGTATGAGGGGGTGCTATGGTTTGAATGTTTGTGGCTCCTCCAAAATTCATGTTGAAACTTTATGTCCAATGTAATATAATATTAAGAAGTGGGGCTTTTAGGAGGTGATTAGGCCATGACAGCTTTGCCTCTATAAAAGGGTTTGAGGGAGTGAGTTGGTCCCTCCCACCGCTTCTGCCATGTGAGGACAGTGTGTTAGTCTCCTAAGGAGGATGCAGTGATAAGGTGCCATCTTAGAAGTAGGGAATAGGGCCCTCACCAGACACCAAACCCACTGGTGCCTTGATTATGGACTTCCCAACCTCCAGAAATGAAATAAAAAAATTTTTTGTTTGTTTGAGAGAGTCTTACTCTGTTGCCCAGGTTGAAGGGCAGTGGCTTCATCACAGCTCAGTGCAACCTTGAACTCCCAGGCTCAGGCAATCCTCCTGGCCCAGCCTCTTGAATAGCTGTGATTACAGGTGTGTGCTACCACACCTCACTAATTTTTCTAATTTTTGTAGAGATGGGGGCTTATATTGCTCAGGCTGGTCTCAAACTCTTAGCCTCAAGTGATCCTCCCGCCTCCTCCTCACAGAGTGCTAAGATTACAGAGATGAATCACTGTGCCCCAGCCTCTGAAATAAATTTTTGTTCTTTATAAATTACCCATTCTCAGGTATTTTGTTACAGCAGTAGGAATGGACTAAGGACAAAGGGTGTCAACGAGAAATACCTCCAGTACAGCAGGCAGGATTTCTATAGGTGGAGATCGGGCATGGTGGTGTGTGGGGGGGGAAAATAGGAGTAAAATGGACAAGCTCAGAACAGCTATGTCTAGCTGGTTTAAATTTATCATCCTAGGTCTGCTCTCTAGTTCAATAACACTTACACTAGGCACAGTGGAGCTTTTCTTGCGTTCAGGAATATCTGCCTTATTGGGATTATTTGCATTCCCAAGCATGGGACTGGCTGGAGCAATTCCCTTTCCTCCAACAGCAATGCCACTTGATTTCCGGGAGGGCATTCCATCTTCTTTGAGGTCACTATCTGTAGTGCTGGTTTGACTTCTTTTTGGATATGCCACAACTGCAGGAACAGCTGGTCCAGCTAAAATAAAGAGTTCACTTTTTAAAAGATAAAATATAATTTCACATTTTATTCTGTGAAAATAAACATTTTGTAAAACAATCAAAGATTCCTATTCATCTAAAAAAATGTAAAACAGTAAAATCCTCTAAGATGTTGCCCACTTATATATACAATGTTTACTCTATGCAATGAATTCAATTTGAAATTTCACTTATTACTCCCTAACTTTCTACTTTTCTTGAAGATTTCTTTTTTTTTAAAAAAAATAATTGTTTATAGTGGTCCTTTGGAAACATCTTAAGGGGGTGTTATCATATAGATAACTAATCAAATTAATTAGAGCCACATACATCATGCAGAATGAACTGGCTCACTTTGTATATCTGAGTGAATTACATCCATTTTTGTACAAAGAGATGCCTTCACCTTATGGAACAGAACAGTATAGACTTTATGGGCCATTTCTTTTAAACTTTTAACTTGGATCTTTTTAAAAGCACTCATAAGGCCGGGCGTGGTGGCTCACGCCTGTAACCCTAGCACTCTGGGAGGCCGAAGTGGGTAGATTGCTCAAGGTCAGTTCAAAACCAGCCTGAGCAAGAGTGAGATCCCTCCTCTACTAAAAAGAAAAGAAATTAATTGGCCAACTAAAAACAAAACAAAAAAAAATATATATAAATTAGCCAGGCATGGTGGCACATGCCTATAGTCCCAGCTACTCGGGAGGCTAAGGCAGGAGGATGGCTTGGGCCCAGGAGTTTGAGGTTGCTGTGAGGTAGGCTGACGCCACGGCACTCTAGCCCAGGCTAGAGTGAGACTGTCTCTAAATAAATAAATAGATAGATAAAAGAACTCATAATCTTCCAGATTAATATGAACTTGAGTAGACAGAGGAAGGTGGTAAAAGCAGAGGAAAACATGTTCCTCATGTTAGCGACAGGGAGGAATTGGGCAGAGGTACCTGGTCATACCCCCAACTCCAGGAGCAGTGAACCTAGGGACACCTCAGGTGCATGATTAACCAATGCCCTGCAATAAACCATATGGAGACTCCAATAGTAGCACAGGAGATCTAGAGTGCAAAGAATTTTAGAAATGAACATAATTATTATATTCATCAGTTATGATATCCAGTGATAAACTTAAAGAACAGCACCAAATGCTCATCATTTATTCTAAGGCAGACGGACTTTGTATTTTAGGTCTATTAAAAGGGTGGAGAGGGGAAGTACCAGTTGGACAAAAAACTAAATGGCAAATCTATTTGGAACTGAATTGAAAGTAAACAGGGCTTAGGAGTTTGAAGTTGCAGTGAGCCATGATTGGCCACCGCATTCCAGTCTGGGCCACAGAGCAAGACCCCTGGGCTTAATTTTATTTATGTATGGGAGAAGAACAATTAAACTCTCAGTTTGGTAATTTTCACATATAAAATGAAGAATTAACCAAATATAGGGTGATATTACTCTTAACATTTATCTTTTTTCCCAACATCAGGAGAGGTTTACTGACATTGTGAACATTCAGGTTATTATCGATTTGCTTTGAAACCTTTACTAATTGTATTTAGAAATCACAAAATCCTTTAAGATTTGAGATTCTGAATGGAAACAGATATTGATCCAATCTACTGAATGCATTCAGATTTCCTGTTTTACTTGCACTCAGTTGTGTCTGTGTATTTACTTCTAGATCCTTTTATCACACATGCAGATTTGTGTGGCTCCATCTCAGAGACTTCATGAGCTTCCCCTTTCACAGCGACAGCCACCTCCCTCTCGCCCCAACCCCCTTCCCTAAGCCCTGGCAGCCACTAACTTGCTCTCCATCTCTATAACTCTGTCATTTTAAGAATGTTATATGGGCCAGGTGTAGTGGCTCACGCCTGTAATCCTAGCACTCCGGGAGGCCGAGGTGGGTGGATTGCTCGTCCGGAGTTCAAAACCAGCCTTAGCGAGACCCCGTCTCTACTAAAAATAGAAAGAAATTAATTGACCAACTAAAAATATATATACAAAAAATTAGCCGGGCATGGTGGTGCATGCCTGTAGTCCCAGCTACTTGGGAGGCTGAGGCAGGAGGATCGCTTGAGCCCAGGAGTTTGAGGTTGCTGTGAGCTAGGCTGATGCCACAGCACTCACTCTAGCCTGTGCAACAAAGTGAGACTCTGTCTCAAAAAAAAAAAAAAAAGAATGTTATATGAATGGAATAGTATATACCCTACTGAGATTGTTTTTCACTCAGTACAATTCCCTTGAGATCCATGTTGTGTATATCATAGTTTGTTCCTTTTTAGTGTAAGTAGTAGTCCCTGGTATGGATATATCACATAGAAATTTTACATAGTGCAATTTGTAAGTCTTTTCTTTCATGGGTTTAGTCTGAGGTCACAGTTAGAAAGATCTTTACCAGTCAAAGTTATAAAGCAATCATCCCATGTTTTAATATTTTTCTTTCTTTTCTTTTTTTTTTAGAGTCATGCTCAGGAAACAAACATCTTTTAATATTTCTGAGGTTATATTTTTTATATTTCCACTTTCATTCCAATTGGAATTTATCCTTGTATAAGATGTGGGAAACAGATCCAACTAATTTTTTTTTCCTGAGAACTATCAACTTGTACCAATACCATTTACTGATTAGTAAACCAGTGATTGTTTTGGTTTTTTTAGCAAGCTAAAGAACCCCTTGAAAATCTAATAAAAATCGTCCTTCCCAGAAAAATGTGTACCAACACACACGAACAAGGGTTCACACTTGGGTCCCAAATTAAGAAGCACAGCTACGTGTTATAGAATTGTACACCCAGGGGGAAAAATAAAATAAAACAAAAAAAGAAGCACAGCTATAAACTGCACTGTGGTTTCAGAGCAGCAGGCACATATGCAGAGGAAGGCACCCAAAGGCAGGCAAAGGGGAGTGGTGAGAGGCAGCTGGAGGATGAACTAGAGATGGCCTGGCTACAGGCTTGCTTGCCTTCATCTGGTACCAAGGACTTTGCTAGGCATCAGCTTTGGAGCCTGTCTAGTTTTTAGCACTTAAAAGAACAGTGCCACAGGCATAATACATCTTTCCTTTGCTGACCACTCTCTCCATACCCATAAAAAATAAAAAACAGGCATTGGGTCATTAAGTGATTTTCTCTATAAATATTAATAATTTTGGGAAATATTCTTTTATGAACTTCCTTTTAATATTAGAAACTCCAAGAAAGAAGGATGATTATTATCATAAAAAGGATACACCAGTGAGATGGTTTAGTGAACAAAGCCATAGGACCAGAGTCCTGGGTTCTGCCCCAGGTCTTCCTCACTTGCTATGCAACCTCAAGAGACTAGGTGACCTCTCTTGGGCCTATTTTCTCATTGATAAAATGGGCTATTGGTATGTAACACCATGTTTAAAGATCTTTTTATCTCTAAACGTTTATAAGCTGGGGAAAAAAAGCACTCATAATCCAGATGAAATCTATGTGCTTAAGGAAGAACTAATTTATTATGATATTCCTAACAGACATGACAAAATTCTATTATCAGGTTTCTTTTACGTTTCAGAAAGAATTCCCTTTAAATCGCATCGTTTTAGGGCAATATGTAGGCATTGCTAATTGCCCTGCCATCCACAGACAGTGAAAAACCCCTCCTCATTAGCAACTAAAAAACACAAAAGACAGACACCCAGATCAATACCTCACTTACAAATGCCATGAACACAAATGCTGGTGTCAGCATGGGTTCAAGCTCTCAGTTATAGCCCAGAACAGTAGGCACTGTAGAAAACTGACTGGCACTGTTAGGACACTGTGCTGCTTCAGTCCAAACACACAGGAGGCAGCATCAGCAAGAAGAATTATGGAAGCCAAGGGGTAAGGAACCTGTAGGCTTCCTGCCACATGTGGCCTTCTGGATCGTTGAGTATGGTCTTTTGACTGAATCCAAATTGTACATAATAAATCCTTTTAATAGTGTCAAATCTCAAGGTGAAAGAATGAAGGTGTAAACTATCCAGAGAAGAGAACTCAAAGAACACGGGATGAAATGGGGTTCCATATAAGGACATATTTTTAAAAGTTAGGACCAGACCAACAGAGATTTGGTTCCTGAATCCTGGAATACTGAAATTAATGGAAATGCCCACAATGCTAACACTTACAGCTATGAATGAAAACACACACACATAAGAGTCTCAGGACTCTACCTCAAGAGCAGAATAACTACAGAGCATGGTAAGCACAGCCACTGGGCTCTCAACCTCATAAGGACTTGGCTTCTATCGGGAAGTTTAAAACAAAGGGTGACTTAACCACACAAAACAGCAAGAGTGTGGATGAGAATGAGACAGTATCATGAACTCGGTTTTATTAAAAAAAAAAAAAAGACAGTAAGAATTTAAACCAATGAAAGCAGGACTGGGATACTACATATTCTCAGGGCTTCCCTGTCTAGCCACTGGCCACATGTGGCTAAAGACATGTAACTTAATTAAAATTTAAAAAATGGAAAGTAATTTCCTCAGTTCAAGTGCTGAACAGCTGTGAGCGGCTAGTAGCCACTTGACTGGACAGCAAGATAGAGAACATTTCATTACAGAAAGTTTTACTGCAAAGTACTGCTCTAGAAAGTACATGTTTCTAGAGCAGCACTAGAGGTGGAGAAGAGAGTGAACTGAACTGCATACTAAGGCAGGGGTGGATGGTGACGTTTCTACCCAGCTGAGTCTTACCCAACAGAAGCCAGAGTGTACCAAGGAGATCAGAGCCTTGAGGGACTTGTGCCAGCAGCTGCGGGAATGCTAAGAAAGAAATGCCAAGAAGGGACACAAAGCCAAGCTCCAACCCCGGCAGGCCCTGAGAATGCTTCCCCATGTGAGGAGGGACACTCCAAGAGAACACACTGTCATGTTGTCAGACTTACCATGGTCACTGTAACGTCTCTGCTTCTGGCTCGACGACACACTTCTCTGCACTTTGTGATGAGGAGACTGGCCGGTGCTGTTGTTGAGATCACTGCTTGGCCGAACCTTAGCGAGTGAAAGATTGCTGCTGGAACTGGAATCGCTAGCATCCAGCTGAGAGGAAACAAGAAAAACAATAAAGCACAACATGAACCCAAATGGTTTATTAGGAAACTAAACTTCTCAGAACACACAGACCTCTCCTTAACAGTTCATTCAGAAACATGAAGAATCACAGTGTTCTTGTCATGGTCATGGGAGTTAGATTTGGTATTTGCAGGCAAATTTTTAAAAAAGGATATGTCAAACATGTTATACATATCTAAAAAATAAAAACTAAGAAAATAGCTTATACAAACTGTTAATTTACATAAAGGGTATTTTAGTTCTTCCTCTCTGATTACTCTTACCTCTGAAGATTTTCTCCCCAACAACAAATATGTGGCTGTGATTTCATCATATTTCATTTTACTAAGAGATTCTTGAATTTCTTCTTGTGAATATCCCATTCCCACCAAAATACCTAAAAAAGAAGGGTAAAATATAGTTTATGTGTTTTGTTTGGGTAAGAAATCATTCTGTTTCAGGGTAAAATAATTTTACTTGACCTAAAACATCACATATTTTCTAACACAAAGGAGCTCTTATTTCAGAATTACTGGGTGCTATTGTAGGAAACTATAGTAAGTTCCTAACTATGACAGAACAGATAGGCTGATTCATTGTTATATAACTTGTGCTTAACATCCCATTATTCAACTTTTAGGGACGTGCATGAGTCAAAACAGAAATATATTACTTACACAAACATATGCACACATAAGCATGTAGGCACAGAGTAATTACCTATTCTTTTCTGGTCTGAGATGTCTAGTTCTGGCTCAACAAATGGTTTAAGTTCATCTTCCTCGTGCCCTGCATTGATCCACCTGTCCTTCATGATTTGCTGAAAAGGTGAACTGTTCATTAGCAGAATATAAAATATTCCAATAATCACAATATTTAGGCAAATTTATTTCAACATTTGTTGACTATAGGTCAAAGGGTAACTTAAAAAAAAAATTTTTTTTAATGTCTCAATTCCTGCTTTAAAAGTCCCAAGCAAATATTCACTCAGTATGCCACACAAACCAAGGTGAGTTCTAAAAGCTCTCCAAAGTTATTACTTATTTCCACTTATGTGATTACCTCTAGAGTGCCTCTTTTAATTGGATTTAGCACCAGAAAACGTTTGAGAAGGTTTTCACAGTCTGTAGACATGTAGAAAGGGATTCTGTATTTCCCTCTTAATACTCTCTCTCTCAGTTCCTTTGGGGAGGGAGAAAGGACAGAAAACTAGTCAATCAACTTTTAGGTTAAAAAATAACAAAAAACCCATTGAAACCCCTAAACTGATATACATTACAAATATAAACCCATATAATTTAATGAAACTCCTTTTGGTTTTGTATAGTACACGGATGTAACTGCTTCCTATACCTTCAGGTTTTGCCCATCAAAGGGAAGGGAGCCACTGACGAGTGTGTACAGGATCACCCCAAGACTCCACACATCCACCTCTGGCCCGTCGTATTTCTTGCCCTGGAAGAGCTCGGGGGCTGCATATGGAGGACTGCCACAAAACGTGTCGAGTTTACTACCAACAGTAAATTCATTGCTAAACCCAAAATCTGCTATTTTAATGTTCATATCGGCATCTAACAATAGATTTTCAGCCTAGAGGGAAAACATCAAGACAAAAATAAAATTTAACCAAAACGTAATGAGAATAAGATCAGGCATTTCATAAAATAAGCTTTTTGTAATGATATAAAGTTAATATCTAATGAATAAAATAAGAACACATTTTTCCTAGAGGAAAAAAACAGGAGAGAAATTAGAACTCCTACTTTTATAACATTAACAATCAATAACAGACATGAAGTGCTCCAGCCTCAGTAGATGGGACTACAGTGAGTGCCACTATGCCTGGCAAATTTTTAATTTTATTTTTCGTGTAGAGACAAGTTTCACTATGTTGCCCAGGGTGGTCTTGAACTCCTGGTCTCAAGCAATCATCTTACCTGTACCTTCCAAAGTGCTGAGATTATAGGCATGAGCCACTACACCCAGCCCTTTGACAGGGTTTTAAATTAGGGATAATAAAGGGGTCTTTAAAAAATGGGTACTTGCTTTAAGTGGACAGCCACATTTCAAAAAACTGCTAAACAATTGTAAAATGACAATTATTGGGGAAGAGAGAATCACAAAACCCACTGAAGAGACAAATCACACTCTCATTTATTTCAACAAACATTCACTATGGGGCTCCTATACAACAGATGTTATATTAGTGTCTGAACATGTAATGAACCAGACAGACAGAACCCTGCCCTCAGAAGCTCCTATTTTATAATGGCAGAAAGATAAGCAGCTGGCCTGAGACCCAAGTGCTGTGTAACCGAGGAGGCACAGGGCCTAGGGGCCTGGCACTGAAGGGATGGACTGCTTCCCAGAGGAAGTGATGTCGAAGCACAAGAAGGTGCACCTGGTCATAATGTGTGTGTTGAGGAGCCATGTTTCGGGCAGAATAAAGAGTCCAAGGACACATAGGTGAGAGAGTGCATGTTTCACTCAAGAAACTGAAAGTGTAGGGGAGAGAGATGCAGACAGACGGCTGGGGAAATGGTCGGGGCTGAATGACAAAGGACTGTACTCACGAAGTCTAGGTTTTCATCCTAAGGGGAATGTGGAGCCACTAAAGAGTGGTTGAAACAGAGAAATAACTATCTTATTTGTGTTTTTAAAGAAGTCCATTCTTGGTGAAATATGGAAAATGTGCATGAGAAGAGGCAAAATTGGAAGCAGAGAAGAACAGGCAAGAAACTAGTATTATAATCAAGTATGAGATGATGGCGTCTGGCCTAGCATAGTGCGAGGGACAGAAAAGAGTGAGTGAGTTTAAGAGATACTTAGAGAGCAGCAGTAAAAGGACCTGGCTGGTGACTGAGAGGATGGTAAAGCAGAGGGCCACCTGTCATCAGAATGAGAAGTGAAGGTTTAAGATCAGGAAGGAAGAGTTTAGGCTTTGAACGTGCTACATCTAAGGTGCCTGAGGGACACTTAGGTGAAGATGCCCTTGTCAGTTGGGTCCTGGACCCTGGGAGAGCCCTCTGGCTGCAGGAAGGGCCTTGGGGGTTGTCAGCACACAGGTGGCTACTGCAGCTAATGGAAGAACATACTGAGGGTGGGCACGCAGACCAGCGAGTCAATGACCATCACCTAAGGAAAAAGCGTGCTGAGGACCAAGCTAAGATGTGGAATCTAGAAATGTTTAGAGAAATATGCCGTGACCATGTAGAGAGAAAAAAAGGTGTACCTGGAAGAGGATCTGGGGTGGAGAGGTGTTGAGCATGTATAAATGCTAAGAAGCAGGGAGAGGGAGATGGGAAGAAGGGGAGAGGGGGAGGGGGAGGAGGAGAGGGAGAGAAGGAAAGAGGGAGAGAAGGAGAGAGGAAAGGGAGAATGAAAACATGGAGAGAAAAGAGGCATGGGACAGAGACAGGACGCAGAACACAGAGGCAGGGGCAGCACAGGTGCCCCACCTTCCTGTAATGAGAGGAGAGCTGAAGGATGGGTGCGGGTGCAGGTGCAGCTAGGACGAGGGCCCGCAGTTTCCATTTTCTCTGTGAAATAGGAAACCTCATCCTGTGCCGGGGTGGAGGCTGTAACAGAGCCTCAAAGAGGCACTGCTGTTAACAGGAGACAATGCTGCCTGGAAAAGAACAAGAGAATGCCAGGCGGTGCTGAGGACACTGGCCAGGTGTGACCACATGTTCCTGGAGGCCCTCATCTCTTTGGCTGTGGGAGGACTATCCTCCAGAGATCAACCATCACACCTTAACTGAAACATAAAATACTTCTCAAAAATGTCAATTTATTTACCTTTAATCCTTTACTGTAATTTGATTAAAAGGATCCAATTATTATGAGATTTTTGTCTTATTTGATAACAAAACCTAACGCCTGATTTGTGTAATGACAGAACTGAACACATACAACTAGAGCATACACGTCGGACACTTCTACCCACCTTCAGGTCTCTGTGAACGATCCGTTTCTGATGACAGTATTGGACTGCAGACACGATCTGAATGAGGAGATACGCAAGGGTCAGTCCTCACAGGAGCAGATTCCGAATTAACAGGAAAATAACTTTGTCAATGTTCACACATGCAAAATATGCAGTGAGCACCTGAATGTGTGGATTTCTAAAAACAATTTTCTCATGCTTTGAACTTTTCAATCTGGAGAAATTCAGGGCTGAGGGCTTTCGAAGACAACGGTGAAGATGTCCTTCCTGTTCTCTGCAGTTTTAACTACAAGTCTCTTATTTGACTTTGACTGCTGACATTCCACTTGTTTTTGAGCGTAATGCCAGGATCCATCAAATTGCCCTGCATCTGGAGGACTCTGGCTGCCCCAGGCCCGAGACCAGATGGCTTTGGTACAACTTTCCCATGACTGTGTCACCAACTCAAAACCAAACCAGGGATAGTTAAAAGACTTACTTAACTCTCTGAGGGTCAGTTTCCTTTTCCCAGGAACAAATGTCGCAACATATGTGAACTATGAAAACTATTAATACTCTGTGCACTATTAATAAAGATTCCTCCCACTTTTTCAGTAAATACCCTGCTTTAGTCAACTTCCAGTTATTCCTGTGGTTAGCACTGCTTCTTTTTTTTTTTTTTTTTTTGAGACAATGTCTCACTTTGTTGCCCAGGCTAGAGTGAGTGCCGTGGCATCAGCCTAGCTCACAGCAACCTCAAATTCCTGGGCTCAAGAGATCCTCCTGCCTCAGCCTCCCGAGTAGCTGGGACTACAGGCATGCGCCACCACGCCCGGCTAATTTTTGTATATATATTTTTAGTTGGTCAATGAATTTCTTTCTATTTTTAGTAGAGACGGGGTCTTGCTCAGGCTGGTCTCAAACTTGTGACCTCAAGCAATCCACCCGCCTCGGCCTCCCAGAGTGCTAGGATTACAGGCGTGAGCCACCGCGCCCGGCCTGCACTGCTTTTTTTGAAACAGAGTCTCACTCTGTTGTTCAGGCTAGAGTGCTGTGGTGTTAGCCTAGCTCACAGCAACCTCAAGCTCCTGGGCTCAAGCAATCCTTCTGCCTCACCCTCCTGAGTAGCTGAGACTACAGGCATGTGCCACCATGCCCAATTACTTTTTTCTACATATTTTTAGTTGTCCAGCTAGTTTCTTTCTATTTTTAGTAGAGACAGGGTCTTGCTCTTGCTCAGGATGGTCTCAAACTCCTGAGCTCAAACGATCCGCCCACCTCAGCCTCCCAGAGTGCTAGGATTACAGTTGTGAACCACCTTGACTGGCCCAGCACTGTTAATTAAACAATTGTTTTACTGAAATTTCACATTTACTAGTAACATTTTAAAAAGTCTCATTTTCTAATATTAAAGTTTTATACGCTTATTGTAGAAATTTTAGGAAATACAGAAAAGTATACACAAATATATGCACATATTACCACTAAATAAAGATAGCATCTCTGGTTTTGTATTTGTTTTCAGTTTTTTCTTTGGTATTCTGCATGTATACTTTTTATTTCTGAGATGGAGTCTTGCTATGTTGGCTCAGATGGGTTTCAAATTCCTGGGCTCAAGAATCATCCCACCTCAGCCTCCTGGGTACCTGGAATTATAGGTGTGTGCCACATTCTTTAGCTATGAGCAGTGCTTTCTAATGAAAGTGAGAACTTGGATGTTATCTACATTAAAGTATGAATGTTAGCCTAATTCACTTTCAGTCATATATGAAAGAACAGTGGCACCAACATTACCAGCCCACCAAGAAAGAGCTAAGTGAAGAAGATAGAGCCAGGAATCTATTCTTTTTCTCTGAAAAGAACAAGAGCTCAACCAAGAAACTAAAATGGCTAAAGTGGTCACCAGGCTGGGAATTTCTGAAGGAAGCAGGAGGAGGAAAACCCACCTGTTCATGAATATGGAAAGAAGGGCCTATGTTTCTTGTCATACACAGGAAAAAACTTTTTTTTAGTCAAAGTAATGATGACTTATAAGTTCCTGGAATGCATGACACTTAGAGAAAAGCAGAAACACCAGTATCATGCTTGATTCTTCCAGGTCTAAAGGAGCTGTCTTAGGTAAACACCACAGCAAGGAGAAGGGATTACATTAATTCTAAGCACTGTAAATCAGGCCATTAATTACAAAAGCACACCCCTCTGCCAAATTTCCTGGTCCAACTAATTGGTTCCTCAAATAAAGGCTTCAGAATTTCTCCAGGAAATTTAAAATAAAAACCACAAGCTGGGCATGGTGGCACATGCATATAGTCTCAGCTACTAGGAAGGTGGAGGTGAGTGGATCACTTGAGCCCAGGAATTTGAATCCAGCCTGAGCAACACAGGGAGACTTCATCTCTTAAAAAAACAAAACCAAAACAGTAACAGAAAAACCAGAGTAATTGCCTCAAAATTTAGGTTAGTAAATGCCTAAGTCTTTCTGATGAATTGGATCCCATTAGGTGGCAGATGGGGCCGGGTAGAGATGAAAAGAACCGCATCTGTGGGGTTAAGTGTCACACTGTGGCCTTGGAGAGGGTTCGGACAGACACACTCCTGCTTGCTGACACTGGCCCTTCCTCATGATCAGGAAACCACATTCCCATAAATGTCTGGAAGTCAGATTTATCTGAGTAGGAAGGAATTTAAGTTGTATGAGGCAAAAATATTGGATCTTAGGTGGCTAATTCACAAAAATTAAGAATACAGTTATGAAAAGGGGAGGCAGATTGGTTTTCTAATAAAAATTTGAGTTTCCTTTCATAGACCACAGAATTAAATATTAGAACTGGAAAGAACTCAGAATTCATCAAGTATAATTTCTTCTTTTTATAGCTTGTAAAGCTGAGGATCAGAGAAGTTCTAAGTGATAGTCAAAGGTAGTTTCAACTTTGATGTTTAACAGATTTTAAGTCAAAGTAACATTAGTATTTCTTAAGCTTTTAAATTTAAGCAACAGCAAAGGTTAAGAAACTTAGAAATGAGTTCTTAACTGTGAACATCAGACTAAGCAAATCAAAGGAGGCACTGTTTGGAGAAAACTAGAAAATCAGCTAAGACCACCTTTCCAAATGTGAAACCTTAAGTTTCCTATCTGTCTTGACAACTGTATATATGAATAGAACAAAATTTAAAGGTTCTGAGAGAATGAGGCCCTACTGCTATTTCAATGTGGACCTTGTAATTGTGAGCAGAGTTAATTTTTTTTTTTTTTGGAGTCAGACTCTTACTCTGTAGCCTGGGCTAGAGTGCTGTGGCGTCAGCCTAGCTCGCAGCAACCTCAAACTCCTGGGCTCAAGTGATCCTCTTGCCTCAGCCTCCTGAGTAGCTGGTACTACCGGCGGTGTGAGCCACCATACCTGGCTAAGCTCTAGATTTTTAAGGCTCAATACTCAAAAGGAAAATTAAGAGTCTAATGATATCAAACTTTTTTTTTTTTTTTTTTTTCTATTTATAGTAGAGACGGGGTCTCGCTCTTGCTCAGGCTGGTTTTGAACTCCTGACCTCGAGCAATCCACCCGCCTCGGCCTCCCAGAGAGCTAGGATTACAGGCGTGAGCCACCACGCCCGGCCAATATCAAACTTTTTAAACAGGGTGGAAAAAAAAAAAAAAAAAAGAGTCTAATGATGACATTATAAAGCTAGGAATGGAACCCATGGGTACCTCTAGCACAGCACCTTAGGCACGGAAGGGCACTTAATACATTTTTGTTGAGCTGAACGGCCAATCCCTGCCATCCAGTGAGCCTTCTAAGCATTTATAGAGGCAAACACTTGTTTGTATTAGGGTCTAAGCATGGTCACTTTATTAAATTGACAAACTAAAGATGCAGTAATTCATACCTGTCTAAATTTAGCTCTTGCTTCTTTTTCCTTCATTCTTCCATGTGCAACCAAATAGTCAAATACTTCACCTATAATTAGGAGAAAGGAAAGTAAGCAGAAGTCCCACTTCTTAGCATTAATTTTCCCATAAGCTGACAATGTCTCACTTTCAGCAATGCTCTAATTTTTAAATACAGGCATGAAATTAGCCAGAAATATGTGGAATTTAAACTAAGCTGTCCTTAAGTTCAACTATAGGCATTTGAGTTCACCAATAAAATCTTTAAGCTGGAGAAAAGCCTTAAAATTAAATTCTCATATGCTTAAATTATATAACTTTTATTTTAAGTGGTGTTTTCAATATGCTGTAATAAACACTGAGCAATGAAAATTGAAAGTCAAAGTGGATGAAGTATGTGTGTTTAAAGAGGATGTCTTCACTGACATCAAATGCATTTCCTGAGTCTATTCATTCATTCAGTGAATGTGTACTGAGAGCCTACTGAGAGCCTACTGACCTCCAGGCACTGTTCTAGGCTCTGGGGAAACAGCAGTGAACCCAGGAAAGTCCCTTTCCTCATGGGGTTTCCATTATAGGAGGGGCAGACAGACAATAAACAAATCAATACATAGTATGTCAGAGGACACCAGTGCTGTGGAGAAAAAGTAGGGGAAAGAAACAGGTGGAGTGAGTTTCTGTGTGTGTGTGTGTGTGTGTGTGTGAGTGTGTGTGTGAGTGTGTATGTGTGCGCGCATGCGTGCACACATGCACTTGCCTGCTTGTGTTCTGCTGGCCACTTGAGGGAGTGGACAACATAGTTATCTGGGGTAAGGTTCTGCAGCAAGTAAGAAACAGCAAGGAGGCCATAGGGTTGGGAAGGGTGAGAAAGGGGGAGTCCTGCAGGCCTTGTTAATGACTCTGGCTTTACTCTATGTGAGCCCAGAAGCAGAGAAGATAAAAGGAATGGCTTCTTAAAAAGATCACGGGCTGCCACAAGTGGAAAGAGGTCAGGATGAAGGGGAGGGACAGGGAGACTAATTGGGAGACTAGTCCTATAATGGAGCCAAGCACGGAGTGGCAGGGATAAAAGCGAGAAGTGCAGCAGTGGTGAGAAGTGGGGGTTCGGGACACAGTGAGGGTGAAGCCAGCAGAACTCATGGAGTTCATATAATATTAATTCTTTGAGGAAGAGAGGTGACATTTTGGGGAATGTATTACTAGTACTGCCAACTGCTTATCAATTTAGAATAAACACCACCTCTGAAATCAACAGAGAAGAACATGAATTTAGAAAATTAGATATAAAGTGTCTCTAGGAAAGAACAGGTCTATTTCATACACACGAGGAATATTTCCATTAGCTTAGTGACAATATTCAACTAAAATATTCTGATATTTGAACTATACATTAGTGTCTCTGACTTTTTAAACTCTTAACCCTAACTCTGAATAAATCAGTTTTAAATAATCGATAGGCATAAATATTTTCATATTATCATTTGATTGTATAATGATCTTTTACAAGGCATTACGTACTGTCAATTTACACTACCCAATTCATTAAACTATAATCAATTAGGAAGTTAAATGTCAGCTCAGTATAAAGTCAGATCAGCATTTTCTAAGCGAATGATCTTTCTATCTGCAGAAAAGAACACAAAGTCAATGCAAGTGGTTAATAAGTGAAAACAACTAAAGATGTGTACAGAAAACAGTTTTGACGTTAAAAAATTAATGTAGTAAGCTCACTAGCTGTTATATAGTAATATAAAGTCCAAGTCTGTGAATGTAATTTAAAAATATTTTTTCTAAACCCAAATGCAATAAAAGCCTCTTCAGAGATTTCTGGAACGATGAAGTCACATACATAACCACTAAGTTATACATCAGTTCAACTTTTTTTTTTTTTGAGACAGAGTCTCACTCTGTTGCCTGGGCTAGAGTGCCATGGCATCAGCCTACCTCACAGTAACCTCAAACTCCTGGGCTCAAGCGATCCTTCTGCCTCAGCCTCCTGAGTAGCTGGGACTACAGGCATGTGCCACCATGCCCGGCTCATTTTTTCTCTATATTTTAGTTGGCCAATTAATTTCTTTCTATTTGTAATAGAGACGGGGTCTCACTCTTGCTCAGGTTGGTTCTGAACTCCTGACCTTGAGCGATCCTCCTGTCTCAGCCTCCCAGAGTGCTAGGATTACAGGCATGAGCCACTGCGCCTGGCCCATCAGTTCAACTTTTAAACCAGGAATTGAACCTAGAGCTTTCATTTTATTCCTTATTAAAAATGTATTAACACTCAGATTAAACAGCTGAATTGAAAACCTCTAAGGCTATTTACTATATATAGAGAGAGAAGAAAACCAACATGCAATCATTCTCCTGCCCAGGTCAGAGAAAAGGCAGCCGGATGGACCCTTGGGCAGCACAGTTCAGAGAGTTCTTAGTTCTAGTTCAGGTTCTGTAACTAACTAACTAGGGAACCCTGGGCAAAGGACAATCTGAACTTTGGTTTCATCTGTAAAAATGAGACAAAAAATTGCCCTAGATAATTTCAAAGATATCCTGGAGAGTGACAGTGCTTTGTTGAGCTGATGAAAACAAACAGCCCAAGAAAATAAACCACCACCACCATCGATTAAATGCTGTTGTAGTGCTATGCAATGCATGGAGCTCGCTGGGAGGGCTAGGTCATGAAGTCCACTGTGAAGCTAAGTGTGACATGTTACTTGTCAGATCATAGGGGGCCCTGGCTAGCTTTACCCCATGTCTGTCTTTTCCAAAGCCTGTCCTCCTTCTCTTAAATGTAGATGCTTCTCAGATGTTATTGTCTTATCCCTATATGAGTAATCTCTTCCACCAAGGTACCTAAAATAGATGGGAAAGAAAGCCGCGACAGACTGACAAACCACACAGGCTACGTGTTGTCGGAGGCTGGGGCTCTAGGCTACACAGTGAGCCCACAGTGAGGCTTCCCAGCTCCCACTTCAAGGGTAAAAGCCCATCACTCATGGCCTGGCCACATCATAGAGTCATTGTGAAAGTCAGAGGACGTCAAGGAATGGAAAGCACTTTGTACACTGCAGAGGCCATACGATAAGAAGGTTATAAACATTACTCTGTGTCTGCTAAAAGATGAGCAGGAAGGGTTAGAACTCCGTATAGACTTTTGGTCCTACAATAACCTTCAGTTCTTCCGACAACTCCTCAAGTTTGAAAATCCCAACCAAAGTCCCAAACTACACATTTAAAACATAAAATACATAACTAATAATGAATTAGGACTATGCAAAAGTGGTGTCAGAGGTATGCCTACTAAAACTCATTGTTTCTCACAACAGTCTCCCATTTAACAGTTAACTCACCACAACTGGGTCATAATATAACCTTCTATCTCCAAGTTTTACAACCTGGATCAAAATGCTAATGATAAAATAAAACTACTATACTGTAGAGTTCAATGGAATGTGTACCCAGTAGTTTATAATTTCATACATCCAATTCTTAATTGTTGAGTATCTGCTATGTGTGAGGGACTGTGCTCCAGGCAGGGAACACAAAAATATAAACAAGAAAGCATCTGCCTTCCAACAATGATGAAACTCACATGTGGTCCAAAAACCACAAGAGAGCCCAACCTCAACCACAGGATGAGAATCTTTATAAAAGATAGAAGCTATATACATGCATTTCAAAAAATGTCTACATTTTTACAGCCTTATAGGCAAATAATAACCAGTCCTTAATCTGTATTTTAAGGAAAATCGAGTCATATGTCCTATAACCATCAATTCTGGTCTTGGGAAAGATGGACACCAATGACATATTAAAATCTGATAAAGAAATACATCTAAACCACAGTACACACTTATTTCAAACAGACTAATGCATTGATACATTTAAACACCCAAATACTTGGGATAAACAAAGTGTGTGTTCCACACATAACACAATGACATTTAGCCTTAGAAAAGAAGGAAATTCTGACACATGCCACAACATGGATGAACCTTGAAGGTATTATACTAAGTGAAATGGGCTAGATACAAAACGACAAATACTGCAATCTGTACATGAGGTACTTAGAGTAGTCACATTCATAGAGGCAGAAAGTTTAATAGAATGGTGGTTGTTAGGAGCTGGGGGAGGGGAAATGAGGAGTCACTGTTTCATGGGTACAGAGATTCCCTTTAGTAATATGAAAAAGTTCTGGAGATGGATGGTGGTGGACTGCAAAACAATGTGAATATACTTAAACCACTGAACTGTACACTTGCATGGTTACAATGGTAAATTTTATGTGGTGTATATTTTTCCATATTAAAAAAAATCCACGGCCTTAGATATTATCAATTAACAAAGCTAATAGTGAATCAGTTAATGGCAACCCATAGAATTGCTAACAGTCAGCTTTTTTGACTCTTATCCTAGTATATTATAACTCTGGGTGTTAAATGAAACCTTAACAATTATTCATATGGGCACTATGGTTGGGTATTCTTTTAAAAGAGAAGAAAAAAAACCCCTAATATATATATATTATATATATAAACGTTCTTACCTCCACTTGCATATTCCATGATTAGGTAGAGTGTTTTTTCAGTTTCAATGACTTCGAATAACTTCACTGGGGGAGTGGACAAGATATAGGAGAAAAAGAAACAAATGTCTGTAGGCACAAACCATGCACATGTAAACTGTAACTTTCAAAAGCAACTTTTTCCCTGTTAAATATTTTAACAGCTGGCCCTCTAAAAAATGCTTTTAGGGGATTTTACCAAATGGTACAACAGAAAAGCTTTTATGAAAACAAATAATTCCACAAAAATAATGATCATTTCTGGGTATTCAATGAGACTTCAGAATGTCATCAGCCGTCTACCAAGAGCTATCTGTGCTTGCTTCTTCTGTCATAGTTGTCACTGTATTTATTTGCTTCTTGGCTACCTGCCCTTCCATCATCTCACTCTTTGCACATTAGGAAAAGTGGTATCAATTCTCTCAGCCTGCAGCAATTGCTCAGATCTACTCACTCCTACAACTGCTCATCCATTCACTTGTCATTATGGTTTTAAGGATATAATTCCATTTCGGACTTTTGTTGCTTGGGAACTTATCACAACTCTCAAGAACAAGGTTCCTTTGCTACTATTCTGAAGCCAGAGAGGGAAAGAAGCAGAGGGGTTTATACTGCAATTATTTGGAAGAAAAAAAAAACTTTCTTAAAGAACAATTTTTAGCAGGTCAGTGCTACAGCAGTCCCTTGTTACAGATGTTTCTCTTACTACTAATTGATAAAACCATAATACATCAATTAGAAAGATGCATATTTAAATGAAACTGAAGCAAATCTCTGAAGCTATCTAGTCACCACTGTGCATACCTACTTTATTTTGTTAATATTTACTTTAAAATTAAATTTACACAAAAGAGGGGGTGATGCTAGTCTTATATTGCAGGTGATTTTCTGATGCTTTGATAGAGTATTTTAGGCCAAACAAGTATCTCACATAGTAGTCAATAAATGTTTGATGAACTCATGAATAAAACTATTGTACCATTCCTTACACTTTGATATGCTCCAGTTGCCAAGAAAAACCATTTAAGAAAGTTAAGACACATATGCTGGTGAACAGCATAAAAATAAAACTTTTCTAATATTCCAATGCAAATTTTAGCTCTTTGGGGAAAACCATTTTAATGCAATATAAATTTTTAAAAATTTCAATCTATTGTCAAAGATATGCCATTTAGTAAGTAAAGAACTCTAATCAGGGTATAATTTCAGTAATTAAAGGACAAAATAAATATGTTTAAGTTAACTAGTCCTACGCAATAGTGATAAAGTTTTGTGGTGAAAAGTTGGAATTTGAAATCCAGAGTTCACTGGCTAGCCCCAAAGGGTTGAAATAAAAAGCAAAAAAAGGTTTTCTTCCCACTAGTATATTCCTTGTGATTATCCTTTTCTTCGAACATACTATATTTCACTAATTCTAAGATGTCTATTTTAAGTAATATCCCTGATATCAAAATGATGGTTTGGTAGTAGTATATAAAAAAAATGCCTTTTTAAATGCATTAGCTTAGATTTAGTAGCTTAGATTTGATGAAACAGAAAATAAGTCTTTTGTTAAAGTATACAAACAAAACGAACAGCTCTATTTAAGAGCTTTTTCCTTCCTGTGGTTCCATGCTATTCTTCTGTCAACTGTGCCTGAAGCATTCCTGATAGGCTAACTTTACCACTAAATATCACCCTTTCCTGTCCTACAACTGGTGTTGACAGTAAACTCACATGGACTGTCTTAAGAGTGATTTCACTCTGAAAATACTACTTTTAGATTGTGGGAGCTATCGCTGATATGTAAAATACATTCTGATATATACAAATATAAATGTAAAGCAGTTAAATAATTTACAAAGATCCTTATTATGACATGTGGGATCAAAAGTTTTCACTGTATGTGTATAGAGTAGGGTATTAAGTATTAAGGGTATTCAGTAATAAGTAATTTGCATATTTTCATTTTGTTTACAATTACTATGAGAGGAGATACTTCCTCATCTTTAAACCTACATAGCACAGAGTTGTGCACACAGAGGATACATAAAACATATCTTTGCTTTAAACAACAATTCCCATCAAAATTCCATTAGATAGCAAGTATTCCATCTTTTAAATATGATTCAGTGTAGAAGTATTTTCTCAGGAACTTAGTCACAGCAAAAAGTATTATACTTTTGAAAATATTAATTCCCACTTCCTATAATTCTCTTCTACTAATGAAATAAAATTTTCTAACATATTAAAAAAGCAAATTATAGTTATGATTAGAGATGTTTCTACTGCACTAAAGCATTTAATTTGTCTTCAGTAATTTCAAAAAGCTAATATAAACAATCAACAATTGGTATATATATTTATTAAAAGTGTACCAGGGGTAGTGGAAGGAAAGGAGTCTCTTTCTACCATTTCTGGAATACATATTTAGCTTTGTGACATGCTTTCAAGAATGCATTTAGATCAAAAAGTATTTAAAAAAGCAGAAAGTACCTATGTTTGGATGATTTAAAATCTTCATTATTCTTACTTCTCTGAAGAGCTAAAACAAAACAAAACAAAACAAAAACAATCCCCCGAATACAAGTTATTAAACATTATATTCCAGTGTTGCAATATAAATGTAAATTTTCTCTTAGCTATGGAATAATAAACATTAGCAATGAATTTGTTACCTAAGACTAATATGAAAGTCTGGAGTAACTCTGAAGTAGCTTTATAAACTACTATCAAATACTTTCATTTATGAAAAACAGCAGAAGTCTCAAAGGGGGAGGGTACCACACTTTCAATTTTCTTTTGCTATCTTGAAAATATAAGGCTAGACCTGGGCAAGAACAGTTTTTTATGATTAAATTTATTCTCACTATCTTCCCAGGGGTCCCAATTTTGTCAATCAAAACTTGTATGGTCCCAGTGAATTATACCATGAGCATATTAGATTGGTAATTCCAAATAAATCTAACATTTTGAACAAAACCACCTTGGGAAATCCTCACTGGAGAGGACAGGCAATCTACCAGAGGCTGTGATGGACTGTTACATTACTGACCCTCTAATGAGTCACGCCTCACATGTTCATGCTTCTGTGGAGTGTCCCTTTCATACTGACATGAGATGTGGCCATGTGACATGCTTTGGCCAACAGGACATCAGCAAACTCAAAGCAAGCAGAGGTTGGATAAGATGTTAGGCACAGCGAAGCTTGCTCTTTTGGAACAGTGTAGAGGAGCTAGTCAAGCCTCTGTGAGGATCAAGGGTGGTGTGCAGGCAGAGAGACCCACTGTCCTAATTGCATCCAGCCCCTGCCAACCCACCAGATGAATATAGTCACACAAGTGGACCCAGGTGTGACCTTATGAAGAATCGCCCTGCCAAGGCCAACAGAGCAGCCCAGCCAACCCACAGAATGAGGAGAAATAGCAAATTGTTGTTGTATATTCAAATGTATATTCAGAAAAGGGTCGTACTATGGCCTGGGTTAGTTAATATGACCCGGAAAAACTACAGGATTAGAGAGGCCACCTTATTCAACAACCCTGTTGCGAACAAAAGCAAACCAGGAAAGGAAAGAAAAAGATCTTCTGAGGCCTTGCTATCTTTCTACGGGATATCTGGCTGGAACCGGTTGACCTAGGATACTACAACCTGCAGGAGACATGGGCTGGGAAAAGCCTTGGGAGAGAAGGAGCAGCTGGCCATGTGGAAAGGAAGCTGGTGAGAGATCATAGGACTCTTGCTGCTCTTGTCCTCGTCTACTGTGTCTCATCTAGAATTCAATCAGCAGCTCAGGGGAGATGGACATGGGCAGGATTTGACAAACCTAAGCTATGCACCTGAGCTCAGAACTTGAAAACATGGAATCAGACGAATAACCTTTCCTAAGACACTGGCTCATTTTGAAAGGCAGGAGCACTTTTATCTCCAACATAAATACTTCTGCTGCTACTGTGGTCACTCCACATTTTGTGTTCCGAGATGAGCAGACGGTCACCCTTATCCCTGACCACCATCCAGGCTTTAGTTCTTTTCTAGCTTCCCTCTGTTGAGCTAACACAGAAATTGTTTTCCAACCCATTAAAGTTGAGCTCGTGGCTGTAATTTGAATCTCCCAATTACTTCCATCAACTACTCAATTAGAAACCTCCAATTTGGATACCATATCAATATAGCTCAGGATACCGCACTTAGCATGACACCTTGACCACAGCCAAGGCCAACCTGCACCATGTAGCCTCTGTTTACCACCCCGGCCCCCCACTCGGCATCAGCTCTGGTCACCTCAACTCCTTTCCGTTACTAGAACATACTAAAAGTTCTTTTAAATTTCTTCTCCCTCTTCATCCTTGAAGTATGAAGCAGAAGCTCTGGGAAGTTATCTAAGTAGGTCTCCTCTGTTTTAAAGCACAGCCATCTGTTCACTTCTTCCCTAGAATCTCTCTCAAGTTGTGATGATACATTTGTGTGCACCTTTCCTTATCATTTTGTCACGCACACGGAGTGTGCCTGTCTCCCTTCACTGCTGCACACCTGAAACCAAGCTTGGCACACAACAGGAATGCATTTGTTTGACAAATGCCTGCACAAAAGCAACTACCACCAAGAAGGGCGGCTTGAATGGCTCCTCAGCATTCTCATGGCCACACTACTCTTCAATCCTGAGCAGCAAAACGCCTGCCACAGAGTGATGTTAGTTCTGATGGCTGAAGAGCAAGTCCAATGAAGGCAATCATTTTAAATCCCTGCCAGCAGTGCAGTGGGATTGAAACAAAGTGGATCAGAGCCAAAGAGCAGGAAAAGGATGAGCTCTTACAGGAATGTGAGGGAGGGAGGGCTGACTTCTGTCCAAGACACCAGGCACCAGGGAGGTACTAGACTTCTGAGGACTTAAAAAAGGACGTCCGCAGTTGAAAATGGGGCGCCAGTGCTCTGTGTATGTGTGCAAACAAAGATGGGCACATGCAACCCATGAAGGCACTGAAGACCAAGTGACCCATTCTGGCCAGAGCAGTGTGTCTCCAAGTGTGGACTTCAGGCCACCTGCATCAGAATCGCCAGGGGGCCTGTGCAAACAAACTGCAGGTTCCTAGGTCCTACCCAGCACCAGATCTGAAACGAAGACGTAGAGTTCATTACTCGACAAGCGCCTCAGGTGTGGTGGCTTTAAAGTAAGTCTGTAAACTCCTCCCCTCAAAAGGCAGGACTTAGCATCCCTTCCTGTGGGTGTGGGCGGACTTAGTGGCCTGCTCCAATCAACAGAATCCGACAGAAGCGACGGTGGGGACTTCAGAGACTGCCCAGGTTCGAGGAGGCACTGCGGCTCCCTCCGTGTTCTGACGGGTCACTTGCTGGAGTAGCATAAGGACAGTCAAGTACCTCCGTGGACAGGACCATCTGACAGAGTCGTGAGGCTGCGTGCCCACGGCTGGTGAGGAACCACGGTCTCAGCGACAGCTACGGGACTGTGCCCCCTGGACAGCGGCCCTGCCTGCCCCAGTCGAGTCTTCAGATGGCTGTGGCCGTGGCTGACATCCGGCAACCACCTCTGGAGAGAGCCTGAGTCAGAACTACTCAGCTAAGTCACTCCCAAATCCCTGACTCTCAGAAACTGGGATGATAAACGTTTTTTCTGGAGGTTGCTAAGTTCTGGAGGAAGTTTTTTACACAGCAGTAGATAATACACCACAGACACACGTTAAGCTTTGATAAGCCCTGAGTTACGGCAGAGGCCACACCAGGAATGCGCTAGGAAAGGTGCATGGGACCAGGCAGAGATGACGAGCGGAAGCTTAATTCTGTCAGCAGAAAGAGCAGCCAAAGACTCCCTCGCAGAGCAGCGTCAGGACATCAGCAGAATAACTTCACATGTTCGCCTCGCTGTCAGGATCGTGTATGAGGCACAAACCGGCAGGCAGTGAAACCGAGTTGTTAAACTCTATGCCAAGTTAGACGAGGAGGACAGGAAGAAGCGGCGAACAGTCATCAAATGTGGGCTGCGTCTGAAGCACAGAGCCAGCGGCTCCACAGCTATGAACGCATCTAACTGGAGCTTCACAACCGCATCGGGGGCATGTGATCCTCTCCCATTTACAGAGAAGAAAGACCGCGACAGGTGAAGCTTGTCCCAACCCCAGCGAGTATGCGCGGGACCAGGATCCCGACTCTGAGATGTCTGACTCCATAGTCCATGTTCATGTACCTTAGAAATCTCCAACTAAAATAATCGACAAATTATAAATTGCTGATAGAGAAAATTCCAGAGCAACGGGTGGGCGTTGGCACAGAACTTTTTTAAAAAGTTGACAATTTGTATAGAAGTGAGAAAAAATTTCAGAGATTTCATGGTCTGTGAACCTGATGGCTGAAGATAGTTAAATCTGGAAAGGAAACATGAGCTTTAAGCAAAGTCCCATAAGGACTATACAACATATTTCTTAAAGTTTTGTTATTATAAAAGGACACCTAAGAACAGCAATTCAGCTCATTTCTACAATTTACTCCAGGGCTCAAGGGATCCTCCTGCCTCAGCTGGGATTCTAGGCATGAGCCACCACACCCAGCCTCTACTATCTTAATTCAATTGACCTCTCCCTATTCCCTTTTCAATCTTTATAAACAAATACTAGTTAAAAAATATCAAACACAGACATGTCAGAGGAGTAAAGAAATACATCCCAATAGCCAGAACCTGGGGTGTGCAAGAATTATCTTTGGAAAAAGACAATTTTACCAATCAATATGAAAATGAGTACGTAAAAGAGAGCACGGGGGATTACATACATAAAACTGATCTACATCCTTTTGATCAAAGTACTTAGGTTGCTTTCTCCAGACACACAGGTATGGGGCAGGAGAACAGGCCAGGTAATCAAGTCCTCATCACTGCTTTGTCTCATTTGTCACAGCACCTCCTATCAACAGAGCATGCATCAAAGGTCCTCTCAGATAAAACTAAGAGAGAACTGACGAAAGTCTACAAAGTTTATGTGGAAAGAATATTCAAGAAAATACATTTGTGTAAAAAAGGAAAAACAAGGCCAGGTGTGGTGGCTCATGCCTATAATCCTAGTACTTTGGGAGGCTGAAGTGGGAGGATTACAAGAAATCAGGAGTTCAAGACTAGCCTGGGCAACATAGCAAGACCCTGTTTCTCAAAAAACCAAACCAAAACAAAACAATCAGCCTGACATGGTGGCACATGCCACTGGAGAGGCTGAGGAGGATTGTTTGAGACCAAGAGTTTGAGGTTGCTGTGAGCTATGATCACACCACTGCACTGCAGCCAGAGTGACAGAGCAAGACCCTGTCTCAAAAAAAAAAACAAACAAAAAAAAAACCCAAAACACCCACAAAAAAACAATAGAAAAGGAAAATATAAGTATCTGTTTCTTAATACACGGAATATTTCTGAAAAGACACACACAAACTGATGGCACTGGTTGCCACAAGGGTAGGAAAATTTTTTGGCTAAAAAGAGAATTCCTAAGAAAGAAAAGATAGCTGATAGCTGCTGTATTTCCAACACTTTCTCCTGATGTGAAGAGGATTTACTGTTCTTTCTCAACACGCAGGTTGAAGGGGTCCAAGGGGGGAGAAAGGCAAACAAAACATCCTTCCATGGAAGGTACTGCAAGTGGAGCATACATGAGACGCAGCACAGCAAGGTAAAACTAAAGAAGGTAAGTAAAGAAATTCTAATCACCGTCTTGGAACCACCGTGACTTTAATATAAAGCATGGAGCCAGGCGAGGTGGCTCACGCCTGTAATCCTAGCACTCTGGGAGGCCCAGGAGGGCGGAATGCTCAAGGTCAAGAGTTCGAAACCAGCCTGAGCAAGAGCGAGCCTCTGTCTCTACCAAAAATAGAAAGAAATTAATTGGCTAACTAAAAAATATATAAAAAAATTAGCCGGGCATGGTGGCACATGCCTGTAGTCCCAGCTACTTGGGAGGCTGAGGCAGGAGGATCGCTTGAGCCCAGGAGTTTGAGGTTGCTGTGAGCTAAGCTGACACCACGGCACTCTAGCCTGGGCAACAGAAGTGAGACTCTGTCTCAAAAAAATAAAAATAAACAAATAAAATAAAGCATGGAATAGAAAAGATAACAAATGCTAAGGACATGAAATAATTAATAGCATTATTAAAGACCACTTGTCAGCTAGATGCGGTGGCTCACGCCTGTACTCCTAGCACTCTGGGAGGCCAAGGTGGGTGGATTGTTTGAGCTCAGGAGTTCAAGACCATCCTGAGCAAGAGCAAGACCCTGTCTCTACTAAAACAAATAAAATAAAAAGAAATTAGCTGGACAACTAAAAATATATAGAAAAAATTAGCTGGGCATGGTGGTACATGCCTGTAGTCCTAGCTACAGGCTGGGACTGAGGCAGAAGGATGGCTTGAGCCCAGGAGTTTGAGCGTTAATTTCTAGATATACTGTGCTTTTGGTTTGCATTTTCTCTTTTATCCAAGAATTTCATGTGTTTTAAGTTCCACACGTATTTTTTGTTTCACTCTGTTTATTGCTCTATATTCAGAAATTGTAGCCTGGAAAGAACTGTCAGGTTTCTTAATCTTATTAACAGGACTACTGCTTACAGTTATACTAGTATATATGGCCAAATTCGGAGGAAATCATTTACCTTATAGTCATTAAAGACTAGAGTAGTTATTGCATGACCTGAGAAAGGCAAGTTATAAAGTCTTCTCTGTTACTCCTGTGTTTCTATTAATTTAGCTCAGATTTTCACCTGTTACGTATTTTGGGGTTCAAGTTATCATTTGGTGTTTTACCACTGAAAGGACATGAAATTAGATCCCTATTTCACAACACACACAACATCCAGGTGGTTTAAAGATTATAAAAACTTGAAGACAAAGATGTCCCCAAGTAGAGAATAATTTCTTAGAGAAGTCACAAAAAGTACAGATGATATAAGGCTTATAAATTCAGCAGCATTAAAATTAGGAACCTCTGCTATTCATCAAAAGACAACATCAAGAGAGTTAAAAGAGGCTGAGCAAGGTAGCCACCTGTAATCCCAGCACTGTGGGAGACAAGGTGGAAGGATGGCTTGAGCCCAGGAGTTTAAGACCAGCCTGAGTAACAGAGTGAGACCCCACCTCTACAAAAAATTAAAACGAAAAAAGAAAAAAGTAGCCAGGCATGGTGGCATGCACATGTAGTCCTAGCTACTTGGGAGGCTGAGATGGGAGGATCATTTGAGCCTAGGAGTTCAAGGTTATAGAGAGTTATGATGGTGCCATGGCACTCCAGCCTGGGTGACAAAGCAAGACCCCATCTCAAAAAAAAAAAAAAAAATTGAAAAGATCAAGTGGAAGATATTTGCCTCATATAATAAAAAGTATCCAGAATATGTAATGATCTCCTAAAACTATTAAGGAAAAAAATCCACTAGAAACTAAAGACTTGAATAAGCACTTTACAGAAGAGACAAAAGCCAACAGAAATATAAAAAGATGCATTACCTCATGAGTAATCAGGGAAATAGTAAAGCCACAATGAGATGTTATTTTTATATTCACCAGATTGATGGCAACAATTTTAAAAAATCAGAGAAAATAAAATTTTGATGTGGATACATTACTTGCACACTCTCTTATATGCTACTGGTGGGAATAAAAATTAGCACAACTACTTTGAAAACAAATGGCCTGTGATCTGAGAATTCTACCACTGAGTATATATCCTCAAGAAACTTTTCACAGGTGCATCAGGACATAACAGGACAATTCACAGAGTCATGTTTATAATAAAAATAGCTGTAAGCAATCCAAATGCCCCTGAACCACGGAGTAAATAAATACACGGTGGTATATCCATATAATGAAACATTATATAATCTTGAAAATTGACATAGTAAAGTGAATTACAGCTAAATACATCAAACATGGAACAAAAATTTGAGCAAGGGAAACCAAAAGCAATAGGAAAAGAATACATATAGTATGATTCCATTTATATAATGTTTATAACTTTACATGATACTGATGATGGAGCCATATGTGGTAAAATTATAAAGACAAGCAAGAAAATAATAACAAAATCCTTATTAGTGGTTACCTGGGAGGTGGGAAACAGAAAGGGAACAAGGTTGGAGAGGGGTACAACATGGGATTCATTTAGAGATATTGCTGAAGATCTATTTCTTAAACCAGATGGTAGGTATCTGGGTGTTCATTTCATATATATTTATACTCTAAACATGGAATATTCTTTTGTATGTAGTCAGTATTTAATAAAAATTAAAAAAACTGAATTTTTAAAAAGTACTTAGATTTAGCTAACTAATATAATGAAGCAGTTTTTAAAAATTTAAAATAACAGTAGCAGCAATGTGGTTTTTTATGATCAAATATTTCAAAGAAAACTAAGAAATTTTCCCATCCCCAAAACCTAAGGTTGGCAGTCAAGATTACTAGGATCAGGGCAGTATCAGGAAAAACTAATTTAGTGTTAAAATCAATTTAGTACTAACAAAATTAATTCAACAGATTTTACTGGGTATCTACCATATGCAAGGTGAACATCAGTATGTTCCTTTGCTATCCTTCTCATATGTAAGGGCTATGTCTAGTTCTAAGGAAATGGGTGTAAAGGAAGCTATTTGATATTACGGATTTAGGTTCTAATGCTAGTTCAATCCCTGACTCACTGGATGACTGAACAAGCTGCAAAATCTTAGAAATATTCATCTGTAAAATATAAATTAAGAAACAGCCTCTTCACAGGATTATTGTGAAAAGAATACACGATGATATTGGTAAAGCGTGCATAGTTATTAAGAATCTGACCTCTGGAGCCACACTACCCAGTCCCAACCCAGCTCCACCACTCACCGAGTCCAAGGAACTTGACCTCCCTGGCCCATTACTCACACAATTAAAGAAGGCCTGACATGCAGAATACAGGAACAGCACCCGGCACACAGTGAGCACTAGACATGGGACTGTGATTCTGGCTGATGTTGCTGTTATTATGATTCTCTCCCAAAGGCCTAATTTGTGCCCACTTTTTTATTTTCTGCAAATGGATCCATAGTAAGCTCTAAGTTTAATCTACTTAAAATATTTGGTTCCTTGGGGACTTTTCTAAAATAGTATAATGAATCACTGGTACAATTAAAAATATACATTTTAATATTCTCAATTCACAATGTACTCTAAATATCAAGCTGTAGTATTTCTTGCCAAAACAAAAATAAGTCTGACAGTAAATTAAAAAACATCCTTAAAAAGAAGCAGCAAGATAGAAGTTATACCTTCTATTTCTACCTTTTTGGAAATCTAAAAATAAAGACATACACAGATGTTTTTGTTTTCAATACCTGATATATGTATAATAAAAAAAAAAAAAGACT